TGGTTGGATCCTCTGCCGATCCCACGGGCAGTAAGTAGTCTTACTTGGGGAAGCAGTGAGCGGCGGACAGCACCCAGTCCCTGGTGATGAGGGAGCCCCCACATACATGTCCACTGGCCCCAATCTGAATGTCCACCTGCCACGGCCATGCTCCTTCTCGAGCTGCACTTCCTCAGGGGAGGCTGTCCACACGCTGACAGAAAGGGACAGAACTTTGGTACAAGGGGAAGGTGGGGTATGGTGGGATTAGGGGTAACATACCTCTCCCCGCTTGTCCCCCTTTTGTCACACACAAAACACCAATATTCCTTCAACACAGTTTATACAAATGCTAAGAGGAGCCTATAATTTACAAACGGATCAGGGCCAGCTGAGGGTATACTTCTCTCCTCACAACATACCAGTGGCAGTCATGGCTCCGTCTGCATATTTTATTCTACAATAATAACAGAGCAAAGCCCAGACAGCATTAAGCATATGGTAACATGTTTACCTTGAGCTTCACCTGTCCTCAAACCTGTGGAAGAGAATTGAAAGAAAGCAAATGTGAATTTCTTGATGTTCAGCTCTGTAGTAAAAGGGTTTCTTTACCAAGAGATATTGAAAAAGTATAATCTTTTTATAACTTTTTTTTAAGGTGGTTTTAGAGTTGAAGGTGAGGGGATATACAGTGGCTTGCGAAAGTATTCACCCCCCCTTGGCATTTTTCCTATTTTGATGCCTTAAAACCTGGAATTAAAATTGATTTTTGGGGGGGTTTGTATCATTTGATTTACACAAGGTGCCTACCACTTTGAAGATGCAAAATATTTTTTTGTGTGAAACAAACAAGAAATAAGACCTTGAGCGTGCATAACTATTCACAGTACCTGCCGATGAAAAACATCCCCACAACATGACGCTGCCACCACCATGCTTCACTGTGGGGATGGTGTTCTCGGGATGATGAGAGGTGTTGGGTTTGTGCCAGACATAGCGTTTTCCTTGATGGCCAAAAAGCTCAATTTCAGTCTCATCTGACCAGAGTACCTTCTTCCAAATGTTTGGGGAGTCTCCCACATGCCTTTTGACGAACACCAAACGTGTTTGCTTATTTTTTTCTTTAAGCAATGGCTTTTTTTCTGGCCAATCTTCCATAAAGCCCAGCTCTGTGGAGTATACGGCTTAAAGTGGTCCTATGGACAGATACTCCAATCTCCGCTGTGGAGCTTTGCAGCTCCTTCAGGGTTATCTTTGGTCTCTTTGTTGCCTCTCTGATTAATGCCCTCCTTGCCTGGTCTGTGAGTTTTGGTGGGCGGCCCTCTCTTGGCAGGTTTATTGTGGTGCCATATTCTTTCCATTTTTTATAATGGATTGAAATGGTGCTCCGTGGGATGTTCAAAGTTTCTGATATTTTTTTATAACCCAACCCTGATCTGTACTTCTCCACAACTTTGTCCCTGACCTGTTTGGAGAGCTCCTTGGTCTTCATGGTGCCGCTTGCTTAGTGGTGTTGCAGACTCTGGGGCCTTTCAGAACAGGTGTATATATACTGAAATCATGTGACAGATCATGTGACACTTAGATTGCACACAGGTGGACTTTATTTAACTAATTATGTGACTTCTGAATGTAATTGGTTGCACCAGATCTTATTTAGGGGCTTCATAGCAAAGGGGGTGAATACATATGCACGCACCACTTTTCCGTTATTAAAAACTAAGTTTCACTTCACCAATTTGGACTATTTTGATATAATATAATAGGGAAAATGCCAAGGGGGAAGAACACTTTTGCAAGGCACTGTATAGCGGATCAACCTTGCTACAAAAGGTATTAGCCCAGCGTTTCCCAAACTAGGGGTCGTCTGATTTGAAAATGGGGTTATCACTTTTTTTCCCTTGTCAAACTGGGGTCACACACAAGAAACGTTTGGGAAACCCTGTTTTAGCCTATTATAATCGCCTATTAGCATCTACAAGCTTAAAAGGCAGTGAAAAGAAAATAGCCTTACTGGTGGCTGACAAAACAATGAAGAACTGGTTGCCAGGATTCACCATCCTGTTTCATAGTCATTACATTATCAGGAAAAAACGTTCAAGGTAAAATAGAATAGAGTAAAAGCCTATTCAAATTTCCAACTCAGTGTTGTTGCCATGAACAATCAAGCCATTGTTCTTACATTTACATTTTAGTCATTTAGCAGACGCTCTTATCCAGAGCTACTTACAGTTAGTGAATGCATACATGTTTTTTGTTGTTTTTTTCATACTGGTGCCCCGTGGGAAACGAACCCACGTCCCTGCCGGCCAAACCCTCCCCTACCTTGGATGACGCTGGACCAATTGTGCGCCGCCCATGGGTCTCCCGGTCGCGGCCGGCTGCGACAGAGCCTGGACTCGAACCAGGATCTCTAGTGGCACAGCTAGCACTGCGCCACTCGGGAGTCAAAGCGAGCGGAACGGAATCGTTGGTCCTTACCTGGGTGAAGGTAGTGTCCACTGTATAAAAGGAAAAATCTGCTGCAAAACCCACTTTTTTTTTTTTTTTTTACTTGTTAACTAATGCAGTAGTCAGAACCAGCACCGACTGAGAAGAGCTGTTAAGGGAATGCGTTGATACCAAAACATTGTTTTATTTCAGAATAACTGAGCACTATCCGTGCCCGCTAGTTGAGTCCGTTTCAGGGTGAATCTCAGAAGAACGTGGTCGACCAGTACAGGAGGCAGGGAAGGAGGGGGGAATAGGGGATAAGGTGGAAACGTGTGTAATTACCTGCATATTCTACCTGAGCGAAGTTAGCCAATCAGAACTTGCTGCTCCCTCTCCTAACTGCTCTTAGCTAAGAGCAGAGGTTATCGATACAAAACACACAAAAATACAGGCCTAAGGATAACGAAACATGTCATGAAATGTAACTAGTCTCCCTGTGTCATATTGACTTTGATTCTGTGCTAGAGGTTTCTAAATTATGTGCATTTCCTATAGGCTAGGAGAGTTGTGTGCAACCCACACCCAGTTGAAGGGATACTTCGGATAGCGCAATGACTGGAAGTCTATGGGTAACACTGCCTTCAGAAAATATTTACACCCCTAGACTTTTTCCACATTTGTTGTGTTACAGCCTGAAATTAAAATGGGTTAATTGAGATTGTGTCACTGGCCTACACACAATACCCCATAATGTCAAAGTAGAATTATATTTTTTGAAATTTTTACGAATTAATAATAATAATAATAATATGCCATTTAGCAGACGCTTTTATCCAAAGCGACTTACAGTCATGCGTGCATACATTTTTGTGTATGGGTGGTCCCGGGGATCGAACCCACTACCTTGGCGTTACAAGCGCCGTGCTCTACCAGCTGAGCAATATGTCAATATATGAGTCAATATGTCTTCAACCCTTTATGGCAAGCCTTAAGTTCAGGAGTAAAAATGTCCTTAAGTCACATAATAAGTCGCATGGACTCACTCTGTGTGCAATAATAGTGTTTAACATTATTTTTGAATGACTACCTCATCTCTGTACCCCACACATACAAGTATCTGTAAGGTCCCTCAGTTGAGCAGTGAATTTCAAACATAGATTCAACCACAAAGACCAGGGAGGTTTTCCAATGCCACGCAAAGAAGGGCACCTATTGGTAGATGGGTAAAAAAAAAAAAAAAAGCTGACTGAATATGTGAAGCATGGTTAAGTTATTAATTACACTTTGGATGGTGTATCAATACACCCAGTCACTACAAAATATACAGGCGTCCTCCTAACTCAGTTGCCAGAGAGGAAGGAAACCGCTCATGGATTTCACGAGACCAATGGTGACTTTAAAAAACTGTTAAAGAGTTTAATGGCTGTGATAGGAGAAAATGGATCAACAACATTGTAGTTACTCCACAATACTAACCTAAATGACAGTGAAAAGAAGGAAGCCCATACAGAACATAAATATTCCAAAACATGCATCCTGTTTGCAATAAGGCACTAAAGTAAAACTGCAAAAAATTTGGCAAAGAAATTAACTTTGTGTCCTGAATACAAAGCCTTGTCTGGGGCAAATCCAACACAACACATCACTTAGTACCACTCTTCATATTTTCAAGCATGGTGGTGGCTGCATCATGTTATGGGTATGCTTGTCATCGGCAAGGACTAGGGAGTTTTTTGTAGGGATAAAAATAAACGGAATAGAGCTAAGCACAGGCAAAATCCTAGAGGAAAACCTGGTTCAGTCTGCTTTCCAACAGACACTGGGAGACAAATTCACCTTTCAGCTGGACAATAACCTAAAAACACAAGACCAAATATACACTGGTTGCTTACCAAGAAGACATTGAATGTTCCTGAGAGGTGTAGTTACAGTTTTGACTTAAATCAGCATGAATATCTATGGCAAGACTTGAAAATGGCTGTCTAGCAATGATCAACAACCAACATGACAGAGCTTGAAGAATAAAAAAATCATAATGTGCAAATATTGTACAATCCAGGTGTGCAAAGCTCTTAGAGACTTACCCAGAAAGACTCACAGCTGTACTTATTGACAATGGTGATTCTAACATGTATTGTATGAGATATTTCTGGATTTTATTTTCAATACATTTACAAACATTTCAAAAATCATGTTTTCACTTTGTCATTAAAGGGTAGTGTGTAAATGGGTAAAAAAAAAAAAAAAAAAATATTTGGCCTGTAACAAAAGGTGGAATAAATCAAGGGGCAAAACTGCCTCTTACTCTTCATACTGGACACAGAGACATAATAAATGGTATCCACAAGTATCCCTTTAAGACGGTCCTGAAACAGTGCAGCTCAGCTGACTAGTAAGTGTTTGCCTGACGACTCACCCTGACTTTAATTCTGCTGCTCTATAGATCGCTACATACATTTAGTCAATCTGAAACTGTGACTTCAAAATGAGGGGCGTTGTACAAAACAAATTCATCAGCTATTGGATCGTCTAACAAATCTAACCAATCAGAGTATCAAAGTTGATAACATCATCATGTAGGCCGGCTTTGGCCCAACCCATCGGTTTCTGGGACCAATCAGAACGGTCTGAATGTGTTCGCATTCTAGAAATTGTCGAGGAGGCAAATCCAGACTCATGGTGGAGAAGAAGCGTTAGTTGGCCGGAGCGATGTGGGTGAGTAGCCAGGTAAAGTAAGTGTACCGGTATTCAGGTATGTTAGAGCAAAAGTCTGCAAACCTAACACTAGGAGGAGTGTTGTCCACCCCTGCCGTCCCATTCAATTCCTTTAACTTCTTATCACCACCATGACTTTATAGGCAAAGTCGTTAAGACAAGTGTCTTACGGGAATTTGTTGAGAAAATACCTAATGCCTCCATGTGAAATCTAATACCAACTGCTTTCTCTCACTTCATGTCATATCACTTCACACAATTGAGTAACAACTGTGTGCCATATAATACCATTGTTATTTAACAATTTTGCCATTTTTTTTATTGCATCCCTGATTGTTATTAGCGGTATTTTTAAAGCATATAGGAGTAGTCTTCACTCAGTCTTCATAGTAGTTGCTTCAGGTGCCTTTGCACCCCGCCAAGGGGAAAATATATCTAGGAGAAACACTGCTATTGAGTCGAGTAGAAATCATGTCAGTACAAATCACTAGGTTCAATGAAAGAGAAAAGACCATCCAAGTGAATATCACTATTCTTGTTTATTAAAAAAACTGAAAAAAGACTGAAGGATGCTAGTAATATACTATATATAATGTTGGTTCCTCTTTACAACAAATAGTTTAAACTGGGGAAAAATAAAACAAGTGGAGGGAAGGAGGGATTTGGAGAATGAATACCATGCGTGTGTGGGTTGGTTGGGTGGTCTGGCATGATGTCAGCAGCTCCTCCCCTCACTTCTTGGAGAACTTGGCTTGCTTATGTTTGGGTGGGGCCCATTTCAGACACACTGTGTCAACTGAGGAGACAAGAGAAACACTAGTCAGGCTTACACACACACAGAGTGGTACTATGACGTCATCCTCATGAGACAACAGCATACTGTATACTAGTGCTGAGCGATTACGGCTTTGAGGTCGGTTCGGTACAATTATTTTAAAAATAATCCTGTTTTCATTTTTTACATTAAAATGCACTATGCATTTGTGGGTTGAATATTGTAACACAGAATAAAACAATTAATAAAAAGTCCCATGATGGTAGTGACTGCCCATTACTGCTTATCACACAGTGCATTCGGAAAGTGTTCAGACCCCTTCACTTTTTCCACATTTTGTTACATTACAGCCTTATTCTAAAATTGATTACATTGTTGTTTTTACCCCTCATCAATCTACACACAATACCCCATAATGACAAAGCAAAAACAGGTTTTTAGAAATTTCAGCAAAATTAATATTAAAAAAAAAACAATATATAATATTTACATAAGTATTCAGACCCTTTACTCAGTACTTTGTTGAAGCACCTTTGGCAGCGATTACAGCCTTGAGTCTTCTTGGGTATGACGCATCAAGTGTGGCACACCTTTATTTGGGGAGTTTCTCCCATTCTTCTCTGCAGATCCTCTCAAGCTCTGTCAGGTTGGATGGGGAGCGTCGCTGCACAGCTGTTTTCAGGTCTCTCCAGAGATGTTAGATCGGGTTCAAGTCCGGGCTCTGGCTGGGCCACTCAAGAACATTCAGAGACTCTTCCCGAACCCACTCCTGCGTTGTCTTGCCTGTGTGCTCAGGGTCGTTGTCCTGTTGGAAGGTGAACCTTCGCCCCAGTCTGAGGTCGTGAGCACTCTGGAGCAGGTTTTCATCAAGGGTCTCTCTTTACTTTGCGGCGTTCATCTTTCCCTCGATCCTGACTAGTCTCCCAGTCCCTGCCACTGAAAGACATCCCCACAACATGATGCTGCCACCACCATGCTTCACCGTAGGGATGGTGCCAGGTTTCCTCCAGACGTGACACTTAGCATTCAGGCCAAAGAGTTCAATCTTGGTTTCATTAGACCAGAGAATCTTGTTTCTCATGGTCTGAGAGTCCTTTAGTTGCCTTTTGGCAAACTCCAAGCGGGCTGTCATGTGCCTTTTACTGAAGAGTTGCTTCCGTCTGGCCACTCTACGATAAATGTCTGATTGGTGGTGCTGCAGAGATGGTTGTCCTTCCGGAAGGTTATCTCGTCTCCACAGAGGAAATCTGGAGCCCCGTCAGAGTGACCATCGGGTTCTTGGTCACCTCCCTGACCACGGCCCTTCTCCCCCGATTGCTCAGTTTGGCCAGGCGGCCAGCTCTAGGAAGAGTCTTGGTGGTTCCAAACTTCTTCCATTTAAGAAAGATGGAGGCCAATGTGTTCTTGGGAACCTTCAATGCTGCAGAAATGTTTTGGTACCCTTCCCCAGATCTGTGCCTCGACACAATCCTGTCTCGGAGCTCTACGGACAATTCCTTCGACCTCATGGCTTGGTTTATGCGCTGACATGCACTGTCAACTGTGGGACCTTATATAGACAGGTGTGTGCCTTTCCAAATCATGTCCAATCAATTGAATTTACCACAGGTTGACTCAAAATCAAGTTGTAGAAACATCTCTAGGATGATCAATGAAAACAGGATGCACCGGAGCTCAATTTCAAGTCTCATAGCAAATGGTCTGAATACTTATGTGAATAAGGTTGCACCTCTGGGTAAGACCTTTTTTTGCCTATGGCACATTCTAATGCCTTGATTCCATCTGAAATACACAGCAAAATTACTGATTACTTTACCTCCCAGATTGGATTGGGGGGTTAGGGGGCAGTGTATTGTTAGTTGTTTTGGATATTGCCTAGGTTTTGGCCTATATGATCAGGACTATTTTCTAAGTAAGATAACATTTAGCGTTTAACATTTTACCTGTCATCTCGAGATTAAAGTGTTATTTACAGTTTTACTGTATGAATTGCCACAATGATGTTTGTTCTTCAAATTATGTATTTTATTAAAACAGAAAAATGAAGTAAATAGCTCACATTATCTTGAAAAATAAAAAGGTGTTTTTCCAGATTTGAGTTTTTCCACAATTTTTATTTTTTATTTAACCTTTATTTAAATAGGCAAGTCAGTTAAGAACAAATTCTTTTTTACAATGACCCCGGCCAAACCCTCCCCTAACCTGGACAACGCTGGGCCAATTGTGTGCTGCCCTATCGGACACCCGATCACGGCCAGTTGTGATACAGCCCGGGATCGAACCCTGGTCTGTAGCGACGCCTCTAGCACTGCGATGCAGTGCCTTAGACCGCTGCGCCACTCAGGTTTTCGCTCTTAAAGTCACACTTTGTTAATAGAAAAACAACTAAATTGTATGTTACAAAGCTTAAACCACATCAGGAGACCACTTCTAAGGTCTGGGAAAAAATCTCATCCATTTTTATTTCTGGGTGTAGTTACCCTTTAATTCAAGTGTGCACCTAGCAAGAGGCTGTTGTTTAGCTGTGTTTTTGTAGGGCACGTGATGGTAGAAACAAATACCCACTGGATTTATGAAAATAATCATGATATCATTCTGCCAGGTAAGTATAGGCTACTTTCTAGTTACCATTTAATTAGTTTTTGGGAAAGCCTTTCCATCTACCAGAATACTTTTCATTAGCATCATTGCTAACGGCTACACAAAGTGTTAGATGCGTACACCGCACATACAGGGGAATTCTCGTTGTTTATTCAGAAAGTTGCAAGAAATACAAATCACTGATGCATTCTGTTCATGTCTTATGATAAACTTGGGCAATTAATTAATACATTTAGTTGATTCTCTACTAAGGCAATACATGTTTTAATATTGTTGAATCCCATTTTAATGCCTGGATTCCATATTTTGGCCAGAATTAGGCTCTCCACTACCCATTGCTGCGGTCAAAACATTCGATGAAAACATCTTCATCGAATGTTTTCATAATGTATCTGTAGATAATCGCCAAAAAGACTAGGCCTCCCAATAACCTATCCAAATTAGGGAGCCAAATGAACGGCTTTCTCACCGATGCGATTCGATAGGCTACAGTGACTGACGAGACGAGAGTCACTCACTTTAGTGTCACTGTCTGGCAAGCCCCGACATCCTAGGAAAGGAAACCCTTTGGTTTACTTGTCCCGATGTGATACCATGGACATATAACCATATCGCATGATCTATGGGCAAAGGATATAGGAGATCACCTCTATTCAGTCAGTTCCACACCTTTTATAAACTAGTCAACACTTGCTCTTAAGTTGTCAAGCAACGCAAAATAAATAATCTACTATGTGTCATGACTCTGTGTGGCTGGCTATGTGAAACACGCGAAAGAAAATAACTGACTGTCAGAAAACAATAGTTCGGCTAAGTCGTGGATTTCAACTCATCGTTACCACTTACATTACATTGGTCGGGCAAATTAAAGAGCATCATGCTCTCTCCCTCCTCCGTGTAAAGATATTTGACTGCAACCACAGATCTGTATATAATGAGGAGATGCTCATGTCTTCGCCCTAACAATAGCAGGCGACAAGCTTAGCTCCAAAATAAGCCCATAGAAACACATTGGGCTTATTTTGGACAGATTTTGGCAAGAGTGAAACCTCTCGCTTCGCCTCTTCCTCTCTTTTCACTTCCCTGTCGTCGCTCGATTTGTTACTGGACAAGCACCTATCCTATCAACAGATCGCTAGAAGATGCATATCGTTCATTCTAGCAGGAGAGGGCTCGACGGACTAGCGAATTTAAACTTAAATGAAAAGTTGCCTAGCTAATATGAAGTGGAAAATGGAAAACACCGTCTGTCTCTTCCCTCCCTCTCCGTATCTGCCCCACATAGACCGGACAAGTAGGCGCGCAATGAATTATGGTCATTGTAGTTAATTACCCCATTTTCTGCGCTAAACTACGTAGAATATTGGCCTGTTGGAAACTACAACTCCCTACTACGTCGCACAGTTCGGGCTTGATCTGATTTATCTCTAGAGAAACTGAGCATTGAGCTCACAGACAAAAAACCGAACGAAATGAAATTCAAATAATTGAACCGACATCTGTCAATTAGCTCAGCACTACTTTATACACATTAATGCACACAACACACACCCTTCTTTCAGCTGTGCCAAGTCAAAGAGAACAGTGAGAAACAGGAGAGAGTGGGACTGGGAGAAAGAAGGAGAGATGTGGCTGTGGTGGGACCCACAAGTCTTTAAATTCTGTGTTTTCCTTCTTGCTTTCACTTATCAAGTCCTTCAGATAAGTACTCACTAAGGAGAGGACTGGGGGTTTGTCTCAAATGGCACCCTATTCCCTATATAGTGCACTATATAGGGAATAATAATAATTAGGTGGGTGCTTAGATTTGTTCTATTTCACACATGTACAAGTGTGTATTATACGCGTGTGAATTGGACATTTGGTTTTTTTGCATATCCCTGAGACACCCTCGGAGAGTGGGGTCAGAGCCAGGGATCAGCCATTATTGACTGCGACCCTGAAGCAATTAGGGTTAAATGCCTTGCTCAAGGGTACATCAACAGATTGTTCACCTTGTCGGCTCAGGGATTCAAATCTAATTTGATTTGTCACATGGGCCCAAATACAACAGGTGTAGACCTTACCGTGAAATGCTTACTCACAAGCTCTTAACTAACAATGCAGTTCAAGAAATAGAGTTAAGATAATATTTACTAAATAAACTAAAGTATAAAATAAAAAGTAACAATAAAATAACAATAACGAGGCTATATACAGGGGGTACCGGTACCGAGTCAATGTGCGGGGATACAGGTTAGTCGAGGTAATTTGTACATGTAGGTAGGGGTAAAGTGACTATGCATTCGAACCAGCGACCTTTCAATTACTGGCCCAACGTTCTTAACCGCTAGGCTACCTGCCACCCTGGGGGGGGGCTATTCAGGCTCTGGTCAATAGTGCACTATATAGGGAATAGGGTACCATTTAGGAAGTGAAAAGGTAACGTGTCTACCTGTGATTGGCGGCTTCTTGTACTGGGCACTCTTGAGGTGTTCTTCAACCAGTTTGGGCGTGACACAGATGACGTGCTGGCCCTTCCAGTATTTCACCATGTTGAGGGACTGCAGCGTACTGATGATGTCACCCTGGGTGATACTGGTCATCTGACTGTGGAGGGGGAAGAGCATTGAGAATCTGGGGCTGAGTGTGTGTGAGGTCATATGTGTACAGGTATGACGTGGAAGTACTTGGCATATGTACAAGTGAATGCAAGTGTACCTATGATGTGTATGTGCAAGTGGATGGATATTCACATCCATGAGGATGTACAGTGCATTCGGAAAGTATTTCCACATTGTTACGTTACAGACTTATTCTAAAATTGATTAAATCAATCTACACACAATACCCCATAATGGCAAAGCGAAAACAGTGTTTTAGAAATGTCTGCAAATTTATAAAAAATGCAAAAACAGAAATACCTTATTTACATAAGTGTTCAGACCCTTTGCGATGAGACTCGAAATTGAGCTCAGGTGCATCCGGTTTACTACACCTTGACTGGACATGATTTGGAAAGGTACACACCTGTCTATATAAGGTCCCACAGTTGACAGTGCATGTCAGAGCAAAAACCAAGCCATGAGGTCAAAGGAATTATCCATAGAGCTCCAAGACAGGATTGTGTCAAGGCAAAGATCTGGGGAAGGGTACCAAAAAATGTCTGCAGCATTGAAGGTTCCCAAGAACACAGTGGCCTCCATCACTCTTAAATGGAAGAAGTTTGGAACCACCAAGACTCTTCCTAGAGCTGGCCGCCCGGCCAAACTGAGCAATCGGGGGAGAAGGGCCTTGGTCAGGGAGGTGACCAAGAACCCGATGGTCACTCAGACAAAGCTTCAGAGTTCCTCTGTGGAGATGGGAGAACCTTCCAGAAGGACAACTATCATGTCTGGAGGAACCCTGGCACCATCCCTATGGTGAATCACGGTGGTGGCAGCATCATGCTGTGGGGATGTTTTTCAGCAGCAGGGACTGGGAGCCTTGTCAGGATCAAGGGAAAGATGAATGGAGCAAAGTACAGAGAGACCCTTGATGAAAACCTGCTCCAGAGTGCTCAGGACCTCAGACTGGGGCGAAGGTTCACCTTCCAACAGGACAACGCAGGAGTGGCTTCATGACAAGTCTCTGAATGTCCTTGAGTGGCCCAGCCAGAGCCCGGACTTGAACCCGATCCAACATCTCTGGAGAGACCTGAAAATAGCTCCCCATCCAACCTGACAGATCTTGAGAGGATCTGCAGAGAAGTATGGGAGAAACTCCCCAAATACAGGTGTGCCAAGATTGTAGCATCATACCCAAGAAGATTTGAGGCCGTAATTGCTGCCAACGGTGCTTCAACAAAGTACTGAGTAAAGGGTCTGAATACTTTTTTTTAGCTAAAGTTTCTACAAACCTGTTTTTGCTTTGTCATTATGGGCTATTGTGTGTAGATTGATGAGGGGGGAAAAACAATTGTATCCATTTTAGAATAAGGCTGTAACGTAACAAAATGTGGAAAAAGTCAAGGGGTCTGAATACTTTCCGAAATGGTGAAATGAAAAAGGTTGTGTGTGTGTGTGTTTACCTTAGGTCTTTGATGGAGAGCGTGCCCCTGAAGTCCCTGAGGATCTCAAGCAGCACCCAGGACCAGTAGCTCCTGTAGCTTAGCTTGCCCAGGTCTGACAGGGGCTTCTCTGGAGAACCCACTGTACTCTCCAATTTAGACAGCTCATAACCTAGAGGGAGAGAGAGAGAGCACGTGATAGTGTGTGTTATAGCTGGGACGATAAACCGAAAATGATCGTCACCAACCAAACCGACCATTTAGCGACAACATTTTACTGATATCGATAATAACGATAAGTAGCCTTTACGGGAGCAATGTGGAGTTTGAAATGGAATAAGCCTAAGCCTGCTAATATGAGCTATTTCTAACGGGACAATTGCTAACATTCAAAGTAGCAGTAGTAGTTTAAAGGGTAAAATAAAATAACTGGTGCATAATAATTGTATTAACTTATCGTACAATTTATCGTTAACCTTATAATTCAGTCAATTTATCTGATTTTTGTCCATATTACCCAGCTCTAGTGTGTGTGTGTGTGTGTGTGTGTGTGTGTGTGTGTGTGTGTATATCCCACTCACTGAAGGCTATGAGGAACTTTCCGTAACCTCTGCGCTGGTAGGGCGGGAGGGTGAGGATACACGCCACGTTATTCCCATCTGGCGACTCTTTCTCCTGTGGATCACACATAACAGGCTCAGCTTTTATAGGCCAATACTATACCAGTTACCTGTTCACCTAAAACAATTAACAATTTCCTTCAGATTTGGGACTTTCCTCAAGACATGAGACATTTGAATAACAATCAGGTAGCTTAGTGGTTAAGAGTGTTGCGCCAGTAACCGAAAGGTCGCTGGTTCTAATCCCGGAGCCGACTAGGTGAAAAATCTGTCGACGTGCCCTTGAGCAAGTCACTTAACCCTAATTGCTCATGTAAGTCGCTCTGGATAAGAGCGTCTGCTAAATACAAAAAAATAAAATACAAAAATCTGTTACTAATCTCCCCCCCCAAAAAACAGCTACATTACAGATATCAGTTTTTACTTTGGACAAGCAGCCACAGATATCCCCATCCCAGTACTAGGACCAGTGTTTACTTTGGAGAAGTATCCCACTATGTGTGCTCCCATATAACCCCATCCCAGTACTGGGACCAGTGCTTACTTTGGAGAAGTATCCCACTATGTGTGCTCCCTGCCTGTTGACTTCAGTTAGGATGTAAAAGACAAAAGGCTCCACGTCAAAGTACAGGGTCTTGTGGTCCAGGAAGAGCTTGGCCAGTAGACACAGGTTCTGACAGTAGATCTACAGAAAGAGACAAGGGTCAGTATTACCATCAGTGGGTTTGTTCATTTTAATACATTTTGCAGATGCTCAATGAAGTAGAGTCGGGTGTGTTAGTGCTGGGCTGGAACAAACATATGCAAACCAGGGGTACCCCCGAGACCTAAGTTGAGAGGTCTAGGTTGTTATTGTTCCCAGTTGCTTTCAGGCCACAGTTTGGGATCATTCTCTGTGGTCTGGTCCTGCCTCCTGTGTTCTTACCTTGTGGTCACGTCCGTCCACTTCGTAAACAGAGATGTTGCTCCGCCTGTAGATCTCTTTCCCAGGAGGCTGCCTCCACTGACATTGGGACTGGAGGATCAGATTCAGTGAGGAAGAGAGGAAAGGTAGAGAGGAAGTAGAGGTGGAGAAGGATGAAACATGAGTATGTGGTTCAAAGCTTTTCAACTATATATTGGTAAAATAGAAGTGCTAGTCTCCAATGCTAGATGGTAATGAAAGCCAACAGCAATGCTGAAGCTAACAGTGCTTTTAAACTGTTGAAGCTGAAAGTCACTGACCAGGTGGTATCTGAAGGTCTTCTCGTACTTCATGTACTTGAGGCAGTACTCGCAGATCCACAGCTTGGGCTGCTTGCCGTAGTCCTCTGGGAATGGGGAGAAGTACCAGGCGTCAATCTCAAAGTTACCAATCTGGATCTTGTCCACGTACTTCACTTTAGTGATCTGGGTGAGAGGGAGCGAGGCAAGGACACATTTATACTTCTCCCCGCTCTAGGAATTGTATTGTTTTACTACTACATTTATCAAAATGGTGTCTAACATTAGAACTACACATGCTTACAGCCTCATGCTCCTTCTCCAGGGCAGCTGTGGTGGGGTCCATCTCTGCGTACGTCTGGAGGGTGAGAGGAGCCCATTTAATATCTGAATCTAACTCATCTGACTGACAGAAGAACAGTTTAGAAATGTACAAAGTGGATTTGATCCCCCGCCGTGGGGGTATGTAGTCCAGAGGCTCAGGCTGCTGTGTTCACCACTAGAACCTCCTGCACTAGCCTACCTTCTGCACGTGGTTGATCTCATCATGTTTGCGTTTCTGGTTGCGGGTGATCTTCCTCTCAGGCTGTTCCCCCAGCTCGCCCCCTCCTCCCCCCTCAGCGATTTTTGTCACTGCGTCCTTCGCCGTCTTGGTCAGTGCCAGGCGAGCCTTGCCCACCCACTCATCCAGACGTCTGTTAACTACAGGGCCAGGGGAGAGGTAGAGAGAGAGGGGTGGAGGAGGAGAAGGAAGACATGATAAAGGGAGGTAGAGGAAAGTAGAAGGAGAGGTGTATGAAAAGATAGAGGAGCATGGAAGTACTGTGTGTGTGTGTGTGTGTGTGTGTGTGTCCCACTCACATCCAACATAGTGTACGTAGAACTCCTCTCTGCCCTCCTGTTCGTTCAGCCTGGACTGGATAACTTCAGCAGAATCTGAAAGAAAGAGGTTGAGTTTTACTGAATTAACTGTAGCGATCTCAGTAAAAAAAAAAAAACACATCTAGCTAGCTAGTTTACAGCTCATAGAACTTGATGGCCTTCAATGTACACTATAAACAAAACCACAACTTCACAAATCTAATGTCCAAGAAGCAAACTTGAACTTGAGATCACCAACAACAAGTCGATAAAATACCTGCACAGTTAAACATTTCGTGACTAAGTTCTCTATCAGTCTGAAGATGGTGAACCAGTCGGGACGCACTGATAAATACACTAGTGTTCTGCCGCTACATTACAGCCTTTTCAAACGTAGCTAACTATTATTGACTTATAAACAAATACTTACGCCATGTCTTGTCGGCTCGCTGACATAAATACGTCTCTCCGATTTCGACTGACACCTCTTGCTCCCTGCCCGACAACACTCCTTCCCCGTTGCGCTGAGGAATCGAGCCCCTGGCTTCTCTTTCTCGATCAATGGCCTCCGACTCGTCCTCCTCCCCGCCACTGCCGTTAGATGAACAAGGGGCTTGTATTCCGGTGTCCAAGTCTTCCCGGTCCGTTACGTTGTGTCCTGGGTCGATTTCAACGTCCATTCGGTCCTCTGGAAGATTGTTGTTGTAGTTATTATCTCGAATATGACGCTCGTTCGTCGTTAGCACTGTTCCGGCAGACATCTTGTCTTATTTCAAAACACTGCGTGCCCGGGACGATATGAGTTAGCGCAGCGCAGAGGGGGGCGTTCTCGACTCATCTAAACAAGTTGCTCTTCTAACAGATCTAGGATCAGATTATCTACCCCCATTCGCCGTACATCAGTGCTTAGATTGAGGAAAAGTGCACTGTGCTGGCAAATTTGCCAAACAATTTCATTCATTCAATCAATCAGTCCACCATTCAATCAATCAAACAAACATGTGTTATTTGTGTAGGAGGGAAACGTTCTCCGGAAAACCGTAATAACCAGTGGTGCAGTACTATTTTTTTAGGTGAGGGAGCGCAAATTTTTTTTAAATGACGTAATCATTTCCTCAGTCAAAGTTTGTACCGAGAGATGTAGCCTATTGATTAGCCTATCATTACAGCGCTCTCCAACCCTGTTCCTGGCGCGCTACCCTCCAACCCCAGTTGTAACTAACCTGACTCATTTCATAAACCAGTTAATTATTAGAATCAGGTGCGCTGGATTAGGGTTGGAATGAAAACCTACAGGATGTTAGCTCTCCAGGAACAGGGTTGGATATCACTGTTATAGAATATGCAAGCGCATACTCATTTTTACATTTTTGTCATTTAGCAGACGCTCTTATCCAGAGCGATTTACAGGAGCAATTAGGGTTAAGTGCCTTGCTCAAGGGCACATCGACAGATTTTTCACCTAGTCGGCTCGGGGATTAGAACCAGCGACCTTTCGGTTACTGGCACAACGCTCTTAACCACTAAGCTACCTGACTATGCCCACATATATTGTCTCAAGAACATGTTCTATTTTTAATACCCTCAAATACCAAGTTAGGCATACCTAATTACAAAATAGGCCATCATCACTGTCAATCGTGAATGATAATTAGGCCGATTCACGTTTTACCGATGAAACCGCATCTGCATGCCAATCATTTAATTGATGTCAATCAATTTAATGGGAATAGCCTATGCATTTTGATCTTCTTGAATTACTGTTTCATGAGCGAATTAGAGTAGATGGTGTTATCAAACTATTAGTCTTTCTTGTATTTTGTTTCAATCAAAGCATCTTGCGTAGTGGCTCTGTTGAGTTTTGGCGCATGATACATTTTTTTTTTTTACTATTAAGCTTCAGCTAGCCATCTTAAAATCTCATTAGAAATTAGGTGTTTTTGGCGTAACAGTAGTGTTGAACAGTAACGTTATAGGCCTACTATGCTATGCTATTATATTCGGTTCTGTTATGTAAAATACTGGTTAATAGTTATGTGATGTGGCGAGACATTGTTTCAGATTTGATCAAACTTTACTAAACGAGCACCATTGTGAGAAGTGAATCTTCCATTTGTAATAATAATAATACTATCAATTCATGTATTTGCATAATTCGTTTTAAAACAGCCATAAAATCAAGCTTTTAGTTTATTAATGCATCTCAATAAACTATAACCTAAATGCATTATTACCTCCAACTTGGCCCAATTCACATTTCCAATTTCCCATCCTGACATACCAAGCTAACGGGCCCTGGGTCTCAACCAATAGCCAATATACTGTAGGCAACTTCCAGAGAGGGTCAGGCTCTTGGGCATTGCGGTGGCCACTCTGTCTTGGGTGTCCTCGGCAGAACGTCGCCGTAACCAAGTTGTCACATATCGTTTTAGGTTCCACTGCGCAAGAGGGAGTCGGTGAAGTTTTATGAACAGCAAGGCAGACATTGTGAATTTAGAATATTTTTTTAGACCTTCTGATTTGCCAAAGTTGTCAAGCCTCCAAAGGGCCTCCGCAATGCACACATGTAGCCACGACCAGAGAGAAGACGGGGAAGAAACCACCATTTACCTACCTCTAGGCACAGTGAGGCGAAGACTTTTGGAGGATGGTATGGTGTCAAGAAGGGCAGCGAGGAAGCAACTTCTCTCCATGAAAAACATCAGGGGACAGACTGATATTCTGCAAAAGGTACAGGGATTGGACTGCTGAGGACTGGGGTAAAGTCCTTTTCTCTGATTAATCCCCTTTCCGATTGTTTGGGGCATCCTGAGAAAAGCTTGTCCGGAGAAGACAAGGTGAGCGCTACCATCAGTCCTGTGTCATGCCAACAGTAAAGCATCCTGAGACCAACTTTTGACCACGACTGTATATGAATTATATGTATTTTCAAATGTGTTTCTTTTAGACCAGCCCTGGTGCCACAATGGTTGTGGTAAGACTTCCCTAGTTCTGACTTCACCTCAGTCCATTACTCTTCAGTCATCTCATAGCTGTGCTGTCCCACACAAACACAGTTCAGACCAGCAAACATTTCAACTGACAGAGGCTTTATTTGTATTTTTTCTCTCCTTTAGAGGACAGCCCCTCTTTCTGGCCCTCCCTTCCCAACTCTCAGTATGGGGGGGCCAGGCAGTCGCCGATCAACATTGATACTAACCAGATGACCTTTGACCCCAGTCTCCGCAACCTCACCTTCAGTGACATCACTAATCCACACAGCATCAAGTTCCTCACCAACAATGGACACACAGGTACTCTTGTGTTGAATCTCCTTGGTCCTGTCCTTATAGTGTGTCTGTAGGACGTGTTGTCTAGCCTTCTTTAAAGTAATCTCAGTAGCTCAGGACACAGGTATCATTTTCTCATTAACAGTTGTTAGAGAATACACAATACCATATTAACTTATACTACGGTAATACCGCAACTTATTTTCGTCCTCACAATGAGCTGTGTGTTAGAGGAGGGCCTGATGGAGGTGAGAGGAGGGGGGCTCTCTCATGCCTACACGGCTGGCATGATGCATTTCCACTGGGGAGGCGACTCACTCTGCCACCCAGGCTCTGAGCACACAGTGGATTCAGTCAGATACCCTATGGAGGTGAGATACTTTACTTGGAGAGAGAGAGTGTGTGTGCAGTAGCGGTGCGTGTGAAAATCACTGGGGAAGCCAAGCTCCCCCCTCAAAAAGCCATATTACAACCTATGTGTTGTGATAATTGCGTTGTTTGCTGTATAGCCTGTTAATTCATATGCCTTGCGACCGTGATATATAGGCCTAAAGGCCGAGACAATAAGAAGACACAGTGGCAGAATTAATTCAACCACACCTTTGTTTTATCACAAATCCGGATAGTAACCTCTGTCCAGTGATGTCCACAAAGCATATTGCAGGTACAGTAACAGACAGTTACATGACCTACAGCATGGTCAAGCAAGTTAACGTTTCCGACATTTTCGGACCACTAAACAACTATTGATTTAAAACCACAGAGAGTTACTGCAAGTCACAAAGAAAACAAGAGCTGCCTCCACTATTTCAACTTCAACATTTCAACATCATCAAATCACATCTGCTTAGTCTAATACAGTGACAACTAAAAGATACCAAAAACAATTTAGTCCAATCCAGGGGCGGTGTGTTCATTAGGGCGATATGGGCGACGCACTGCCAAACGGGAAAAGGAAGGGATTTTTTTTCTAATCAATTATATCACGGCAACAGTAGTTATCAGTGTTCTAATCTAGATGTCTGATCTGCCACTAAATGTCCAATCAGGCTAAAGTCGTGCTTCAAATGGCCCCGCCCCTTTTGGGGCGATTTCAGTCAGGTTGAAAATCGCCCCAGAAGTCTCTCATAGACTCTCATGTAAAATCTTTTTTTTTCAAATATCAGAGCTTTCAATACAATCTCTATGGGTTCCGGGAGGGCTTGCACTTACGCGCTTTCGTCATACGTAACATAACCATGAACGTAACTAAGAAAAGAGCTGGTAGCAGCGTGTAAGGCAGAGCAAATAAGTGTCCAAAAACCGGCTGACAGCCAAAATACGAAATACTACCTAAGACTGAAACAAATAACAAAACAGGGAGAACACTTCTCAAGTACCTGTTCATAGGTCTCCGATCAGACACTGCGTAGTACTGCTGGACATAGTGAAACTAGCAGAGAAAACTGAGCAAGGGAACACAGGGAAGTGAGGGCATAAATACACAGGTGAACAGGTAGACAAAGGTGACACCAATAGGATACTGATTAGTCCAGACTGTGAGTGAGGAGGTGCCTAAGGTTGTCGGAGGATGACACCTAGTGGGTCGCTACGGAACTGCGACCCCCTCCTGTAACAGGATTGTGTATATAAAACTAGGCTACCCCTGGCCTGCCCTGCTCTTGCTGATGTAAATTCCTGGGTGCTGCTTAACCAATGGCTGTGCTGTATACGGTGGCACTTCAGGAAGCAAGTCAAAGGCTTCTTCCGCTAAAAAAAAGTATTTGTCCAAAAAATTCAATATCTGTGCGTGCGGACTAGGCCTACTGATGTCCTGTTCAGTTTGAGAGAGGGAGCGCGAAGATGAGAAGGGACGACCGGGGTTTCGCTTGCTACTGCTATAATTTATTTTAATAAAAACACTATGTTTCATTGCCCATAATGAAGCTATTTATCAGAGTTATTAACCTCACAATAAGCCAATTCGAGTAATTACATAACTTACATTACTAGGAAGCGGCAGCCGCGGAGATGGCCAGCGCATCGGTGCTGAAAGTAGGCTAATTCAAGAAGGCCTAATTCATTTAAACAGTCTTCATTTAAATTAGACTTTAGGCTACTAGCAACAAGAGGGCTTTGTGTTGGAGCCTATTTCTTCCTATTCAAGAAATAAGAGGTAGGCCTACCTGTTTGACAGATGAAATTATAGTCTACTATCTATAGATTTTGTCAGCCAATTCCTTCAGTTACCATGCACTTCTTAAATAGCTCAGTGTCAGTGAAGGGCTTGGTGTGTTAAGTTAAAACCAGGGTTCGAATTGAGGGGGTATGTATTTGAGGATAAATGGCTAAAATCATAGGCCCTACCCCTTGTTAGGTTAAGATTTGTTTTTAATTAAATGGACCTGATTATATAAAGTGATCTGTAACAATGCTTTAGTCCACAATGCTTTATGCTAGAAACAAGCTGTAAAATGCAGGGGAAAGACATGACTGATACATATGGGATAGCTTTGGTTTGTGTCTATGATATTCAGAGGCTGAGCTACAAACATCTATAGCCGAGGAGACAAAAAAATGTACTTTGCTTGGGAAGTTCAGTATTGTGTGATTCTGTGACTATCACTTTACATTCAACATTTCAACAGGCTATTAAACACCATACGAACTCTAAATCAGTCAGGAGCAAGTCTGGTAGAAGGAAAAGGGTGGCGGGGTTGGAAAGTAATAAAGGGGAATATATATATATTTTTAAAGGATATGTATGTATGTATGTGTGTGTGTGTGTGTGTGTGTGTGTGTGTATGTATATATATAAAAAAAAACATGTTACATTGATGGAAGTTACAATCTATCTGCAATATTAAGCTGATCCACCCCCCCCCCCCCCCCCCCCCCCCAAAAAAAAAAAAGTCTGGTAGAAGGAAATTAATTATAGATTAATTATATATAGCCTGCCATTTAAGAAATAAATGGTGATGTATTTGTGACAGCTACAGGCTGGCAGGATTTCAACAACACATCAACAACATGCCTATACATTTCGCATTTAGGCTGTATAAACTGAAATGTAAAAAAATTGAAACGAAAAATGCCTTATTAGGCTATACAGTTGTCGTGGAAATTCACCACTAAGGACTCAAATTCAAAGTAAATGAAGCAATCTTTATTATCACGGCCGGAGAGGTTCACAAACTCAATACAAGCCTGATGAAAGGCTGAAAAGGGGCGTTCCCTGTTCAGTCCTTTTATACTGCTACACAAACAAGTCATATAAGCATGGTTGGTTCCTGCATGAGTTTGACTGATACCATAGCCTTACCTTGATACTGAGATATTGTATCGTCACTCCTTCTAGTTCACAGAGCGATGTTCTGGGTGTACTGCCAAATTGCTTATCAGTGAAAGTGTGGATTCCTCCTTTGTACAATCAATCAGTCACTCGCATGAACCCAACCAAGTTGGTTATTAGAAAAGCAGCATTGTGCTAAACATACGTTCATACACACAATAACATTTCCATAACACAGTCATTCACTTTTAGAAACACGAGTTTGGCAAGTCTTTGGTTTGAGGATCATGAGCGTACCCGGCTCCACGAGAGGGCTAAAGGGGGCTTAGCCCCTTCAGTTCAAACTTGTGCCCCCTCTGTTTTAGTTTTATGTTGCTATATAAAAATAGCAAAAAAGTTAAAATGATTGAGTTACAGGTAGCACAAAATAAATCTGTATCTCCGCTGCGCTTTTGTCAGCACAATGGACGGAGCGCCCGGTGGTGTGTGTAGGGGGGCTATGGAAAGTCACTGGGGCAGTTAGGTATGACTCCTTTGGGTTTCCATAAAAAGCGGGATAAAATCTCTGTGAGGCTAAGAGAATAACATGAAACGCCTTTCATCCCGACATTGACTGACACTGAATTGATTATGACCTAGCTGGAGCCTGAAGAGGAGAGGGTGTGCTCTGACCCTTTCCCCAGGCTTGGAGAGAAATTGACTCCACCACAAAATGTTCCTGGGTGTGGCAGGGAAGTTGTGTCACTGCTGGGGGGAAAGGGGGGGGGGGGGGGGGGGGGGGGGAGACAACCCCAGAATACTCCCTTACCTGCTTCATCAAAGGCCCATGGAGGGAAGTTTGTGCCCCCTCATCGCCAAAAGGTTAATGGAGTTGAGGGAAAAGTGTTCATCTGCCTCGGGGCAACTGCTATGATGTTCCTTTATTTGCTCAGCCAATCTACATTCACCAAATGGACATACCCATATTGGTCAATATGTATCATGTACCCAGTGCCCTTTTGGAATGTGCCATTATGCCTTGTTGTCACATGTCCATTAGTTTGGGTAGTGTCTGCGTTTAAGGAGGGTGGTTAGAAATACTGAACTGTAAAGATTTCAGTTGAAGGGAAAATGAACACTGTTACGTCCCGAAAATGTTTGAGGTTACTGTTTGTGTGAGGAACGTGTCTCGAGCATAATTTAAAATGTCGAAAACAGGATAAGGGGAGGGGTGTGTGGCGAAGACGTGCTATAGGCACGACTCCCGCCAATTCGTGCACACTATTTGTTTCATTGTGTCAATGTTTATAAATGCTCCGTGAAATATATATTCATCAGTGAAGTTTCTGTTAATCCCAACATATCCCCCCCATTAATTTAAAATGCTTGGTTACGGAAATGATAATTCATTAAATATAATATACATTCATACCATTCTCATTCTCCAAGTGGAAACGTTGTTTAGAGCGCTTGCAAACTGCGCAACACTTGTGATAAATAACTTTTGGTTTATTTAATTGCATTTACCAGTTTACTGTCAATTTCTTCATTGTCTTTGGTTGGAGAGCATGTGTCTGGTTTCTTCATCATGTTTAATTTTGCGTGAACGCGCACGCTTTAGCGTGCATAGATATACCTGGCCTGCGCGCCAAGAATAGGTGTGGCCAAATGTATTTAAGTGCCGGTTTGGGGATGTTAGTTCACTTTTGGGTAACTCAAGGGGAGGCTGTATCTGAGCCTGGTAGACTTCACCTCATTAGTTAAGACAGGTTTTGCCTGATGAGTCTTTTTCGTTTGAATGCTGACATTGAAGTACAGTGTATATACTGTATTTGTAAATATCACTGTCATCTTTGTCCTTACGACTGCTAGAAGGCCCACATTTTACGCTGATACAGCGCAGTGAAGATGGGCTACAGATTTCGCACCAACCTGTCACTTCAAAAGCACTCAGTGGTCTCAGTATTTGAACTTTATGTTTGTGGTATAGCGTGATATAAGCAGAATTCAATATAATTCTGATGCAAGAACCCCCTCAAACAAAGTAACTTTATCCTGGCGCCAGATCTGATCACGCCGTGAGCTATGCATGCCTAGTTTGTTAATGTAGCCTAGCAGACACTCTTATATTCATTCCCATGCCCTTATCAGTCAACACAAATTATTTTGTATTAGAACATGATAGTTTCCCAAATGAACAGAAAGTTACAAGTGCATATAGGCCTACCTGATGATATGCGGCTGTTGTGTTAAAACACAATTGTAATTTTCTCAAATTCATTGATGATCAAATACTTCAGTTGTAACTGGTTCTGTTGCGCTACATTTTTACTGTTGATAGACAACTTTAGCACTGTTCCAAACTTAGACTATCCCTTTTTTTTTTAATATTAGGCTGTATAGAAATCAAAACATCTCAGGTGCTGCAGCATGCACTCATTCCGTTGTCATGCTCTGTTGTGGAATTTAAAAATATTCTGCTTGTCTCCAGTCATGTACAATGACATAGAACTGCATGAAATGCGTTTATAAGAAGGCACATTTTTCTCGGACCGCAAATAAGATATACTGGATTCATGCAGTGCTTTTATTATAATGGAGATCTTTTCACCCTTGTATGCAGTGGTCTGCAAATCCACACCCTTCTGGCTACTTTGCCATGTAATGCTTACAAAACAAAGAACAGCTATCTAAAGGCTCTAGTATGTCCTAGGAGTGAAGGTAAATGGTAGACATGTTCTCTGCTATCCACTTTGTTTTAACACTGCAATATAACTTTTTTGGGCGACTGACCAAATTCACATAGAAATGTGAGTTATAGATCTGTCATTCTCAGTGAAAGCAAGTCTAAGAAGCGGTAGATCTGTTCTGTTCGCTATTTCTATGCTTCCTGATCTTAAGTTTCATTTTTGCGTCTTTTACATTAGGTAAGTACACCAGCTTCAAACAGCTGAAAATACAACACTTTTGGTTATGGAAAATACACTATATATACAAAAGTATGTGGACACCCATTTAAATGAGTGGATTCAGCTATTTCAGCCACACCCGTTGCTGACATGTATATAAAATCAAGCACACAGCCATGCAACCTTCATAGACAAACATTAGCAGTAGAATGGCCTTACTGAAGAGCTCAGTGACTTTCAACGTGGCACCGTCATAGGATGCCACCTTTCCAACAAGTCTGTTCGTAACATTTCTGTCCTACTAGAGCTGCCCCGGTCAACTGTAAGTGTTGTTATTGTGAAGTGGAAACTTCAAGGAGCAACAACGGCTCAGCCATGAAGTGATAGGCCACACAAGCTCACAGAACGGGATCGCGTATCATGTAAAAATCGTCTGTCCTCAGTTGCAACACTCACTACCGAGTTCCAAACTGCCTCTGGAAGCAATGGTCAGCACAAGAACTGTTCGTCGGGCAGCCGCACACAAGCCTAAGATCACCATGCGCAATGCCAAGTGTCGGTTGGAGTGGTGTAAAGCTCGCCACCATTGGACTCTGGAGCAGTGGAAACGCGTTCTCTGGAGTGATGAATCACACTTCACCATTTGGCAGTCCGACAGACAAATCTGGGCTTGGCGTATGCCAGGACAACGCTACCTGCCCCAATGCATAGTGCCAACTGTAAAGTTTGGTGGAGGGGGAATAATGGTCTGGGGCTGTTTTTCATGGTTCGGGCTAGGCCCCATAGTTCCAGTAAAGGGAAATGTTAACGCTACAGCATACAATGACATTCTAGACGATTCTGTGCTTCCAACTTTGTGGCAACAGTTTGGGGAAGGCCCTTTCCTGTTTCAGCATGACAATGCCCCCTTGCACAAAGCGAGGTCCATACAGAAATGGTTTGTCGAGATCTGTGTGGAAGAACCTGACTGACCTCAACCCCATCAAATACCTTTGGGATTAATTGGAATGCCGACTGTGAGCCAGACCTAATTGCCCAACATCAGTGCCCGACCTCACTAATGCTCGAGGCTGAATGGAAGCAAGTCCCCACAGCAATGTTCCAACATCTAGTGGAAAACCTTCCCAGAAGAGTGGAGGCTGTTATAGCAGCAAAGGGGGGACCAACTCCATATTAATGCCCATGATTTTGGAATGAGATGTTCGACAAGCAGGTGTCCACATACTTTTGGTCATGCACTGTATATTTCACAAGGGTTTAGATGGGACTATGATTCTCTACATTGCTTTTTTTGTCACTGAAATTAGGCGAACTATTAGAATTTCTGCATAGTGCACATTTAATTATTATTTGGGGTATAGGGGAGGATCACTTTTAAATACATTTTACTGAAGGGAGGGCCATCCATTTTTATTTCAGAGGTGTGATTTCCTCCAGGTATCCCTCATAAATAATGTACAGTGCCTAAACTAATCCTGTCCCACTCTCAGGTGGAGCTGTTTCCTAAAACCCTGAAGTACAGAGCCATCTACCGGCCAATGCAGCGCCTCAACGGGCGCCCCGTCTACACTTCCCTCGGGGTGTCAGTGTCCCCACTGGGCAGTATTAGCAACGGCCAGACTTCCAGCATGGGGGCTCTCTCGCCTGGCCTACTACTACTAATGACTATCCTACTGATGCTGGACGCCCAGGGGGAGGGGAGGTATGCAGAAATAAGGGGTGGACGGAAAGCAGGAGGAAAAAGGATGGGGGAAAATAAGTTGTTGAGGTGTTTCTGTCAATAATAAATGTACTGTATGTTCCCTCAGACAAATGTGGCCGTCATTTCTAAGGAATCTTATGCAGCAAAAAGAATGCTTCTTGCATAAACTAAACAACTGCCCACTGACAACAACAATTCAAACAGTAATAGGAAAGAAGGCAGGACACACCGGTTCACTTAGGTGCCAGACAGTGCAAAGCTTTATTTTAGGTGTGTCGAGAATGTAAATGGAGGTGCAGACATAGTTGTTCTTAGTTCCTCCTTTGTCCCTTTGTCATAGAGCAGCACCCTCTCTCCCCACCTCTCCCTCTCCCACTCTCTGATGGAAGCCCCTCCCACCAGCCATGTGAGCCCCACCTTCTCTGCTACGGGGGTAGTTGACACCTCCCCTGCTTCGCTGACCTCGCCCGTTCCAGTAGCGATGGTACCCGCCCCCCCGAGCATCCCATTGGTCCGTTCCTCTGAAATGCCTCTCCTGCCTTTGGTCAGGCTGTTGCGCTGAACCGCGAGGGCCCCTCCTCCTTCCCCTCTCCCTATGGCCTAGCCCAGCCTCCATTTCCATGTCATTGCTAGGTGGGATGTCCGTTTTAGAGGTGTCCAGGCTTGATTTCCTTATTGGCTGACCGTCTTTAGGAACTGGAGCCTCTTGTTGGCCTAGCTCTGTACGTCCCTCCCCTTCTTCCTTCTCCAATTGGCTTAACTGTGCTTGTCCCAGTTCTGGGTGGCTAGAGTTCTCCTGAAGTCTGGCTTTGTTTGGTGCGTCATGAGAGTTGGCAGGAGGAGCACTGTGGAAGTTGTCATGTTTCTCTGAGGACAGAGAGAGTTTGTCCAGATGGTCAGTGGGGGGGACAGGTCTCCCTGGGTGGGTGTGGGGCCTGCCTCTCCCTCTCCTCCTGGGGCCCCTGAAGTGGCCCTGCGGCCCCTGGTGATGGCACTGGTGACCTGGCCCTCCCCTGCGATGCGAGTGGCCAGCGTGCTGCAGCTGTGGTGCTGTGATCTGATTGGTGGAGGCAGGGGGAAGGGAGGGCAGTGATTGGCTGAGAGAGGCATCCCCGTCAGCGCTGATGTCTGAGTTGGGAGGCGGCTGTGAAAAACAAGTCGCAACGTTGTTTAATTAATGTATCTTATCAGGAAAGTGCGCACACACACTTCAGCAAATATTTGTTGCTAAGCCCCGCCTTGCTTCCTTACCTCATTAATGTGTATGAGGAAGCGGTTAGACTCCGCCTCTGTGTCGATAATCCCGCCTTTTGCTTTCTGACGCTCCAAAAGGTTCTGGAGCTCAGCCCACTTCTGCCGGAACTCCACCCCTATCACCGCTCCCTCCAGCTGAGTAGAGGTCAGCACAAATGCATGGCTTTATTTGCAATAGTAGCCACTATAATTTAAGGGGTTTTGTGTCCCTCAAGTAAGTGGTGTAGTTAAAATTGCAAGCCATGAAATAAATATATAGTACAGTGCTGTAGAGAAAAAAGAACAGCTGCAAGAGTACAGTATGTTGTCAGTGTGTGCAATTGTGTCTTTACCTTTGGAAAGCTAGGGGCGGGATTAGACAGGAGCTGGTCAACGTTGTAAGTCAGAGGTTCTCTACACACGGGACACACAACCGTTAGCTCCTACAGGGGGAGGGAGAAAGAAAATCACCACAAAGTGAATCATCACTGTAAAATCTCCAGGAATATAGCTAAAAAAAAAAATCCCCATCCCCCAAAAAATTGTGTTTCACTTCAGGAACTCTCAGGCGCTCCCCCTCAATTCCACCGCTGCATATGGATACTTGATCTCACCTCATCGTCGGTCCTCTCCCGTGTCTTGTCCTGCTCCAGCTCCTTCTCCCGCTCCTGGAGTTCAGTCTCAGAGTGGGTGATGTAGCGGCCTAGGCAGTGGGAGTGGAAGTAGTGGTAGCATCTGGTCTTGGTGAACGCCTCCCCATCCTGGGACAGACCAGAAAGACATAGGGGAGGACAAGGTTTACATCACACAATGCTGCGGTCCCATTTTGGGTCCACTTGCTCACTCCCCCACATGGATTTCAAAAGCATTGGATTGGTGTAAACATGGGCTACAGAGAGTTTCAAACAGGAAGACTAGTTTAAACTTTCATCTTGTGTGGACTAATGGTAATACTAATTAAACAGCCCACCTTAAATCCGTAAAGGCAGATGACGCAGTTCCCATGTGGAATATTACTCTCCGTCAGGATCTCTTTGGCTTTCTGAGAGACAGAAAAGAGGGACCGAGTCAGGTACTTGATATTCATCTCCATTTATACATTTCTAAATGAAAAAAAATCAGGACAAAGGGCATCCTCGATCCACAGTTCTAATTATAATATCACAAATATAGTTCTTAAATTACTGTGGTCTCCAACTAAAAGATTTCAAATAAGAACAGAGAGAATGAGAGAAAGAGAAAATGAGGGAGAGAGGAAGGGGGGAAAAAAGGGAGAGAGAGAGAGAGAGAGAACTGGCCTCAATGAGCTGGTACAACACAGGGGAACCCAGGCAGGACTCCGCCTCTGTCTGCAGACATTTCTGCACACTGGAAGAGAGAGACAAATCATGGAGCAATACAAGCAACAGGGGACACATACAAAATGAAACTACCCTTCATCAGAGCAGTGGATAAGAATACAATGAACCTAAGATGGAGAACAACAGATTTACTCTAGTTACCTGCACAGCTTGTCATCAGAAAGACCCCGAGGGTTGTGGATGGAAATGGAGGGAGGAGAGGAGGGATACTTAGGAAGAGAGCGAGATAGAGAGAGATCAGTGTGTAACATTTGGAAGTGGCATGTCCTGAGAATTAAAGGGACAGGGCAGGGTTCTAAGGACAGGACATTATGAAAGCATGAGGAAAAACTTTCACATGAGTCAGAGAGAAACAATATGACAGGAAGTGTTGTTGCTACATGGAGAGTTAGCTCAAGACTCACACAGGGACCCCTCAACTCCGGTCCTGGAGAGCTACTGGGTAAGCAGGCTTTTGTTACATCCCTGCACCAATACACAAAAGTGTACACACCCTGTAGGTAGCTCTCCAGGAGCAGGGAAGGCCAGTATATCTAGGGGGTACACAAAACTAAATATTTTTTTTACACAAGAAACCTAAATGCATGCTCGAAGCCAGGCGATGGGGAATTATTTGTCCAATCAAATGGATTGCAAAGGAAGAAGAGAATATGAGCATACCTGCAAGTCGAGAGTCAAAGTTAGGGTGAGTCGCACAAACTGAGAGAGGGAATCTTCACCCGTGGAGGGGTATAGAACCAGGCTCACCTCCCATCCCCTATAAGAGAGAGCAACAGAGAATGTCAATTAAACACACACACGCACACACTTCAAAGTCTATCAGCTATTCATCTACTCTTATCTATTGGCCAGGGGAGGCTAATCAGTCATACGTTATAGTTAAACAACCGGGGATAGAAAAGAGAGCAGAAAGAGATGTTTAAGCGTGAACGCTGATAGACCTCTCCAGAGAGCAGTTGGGAGGACAGGATGTTGAACACAGAGGAGGGAACGCAACAATCAGCTGAGCGTGATGCAACAGACCTGTAATCTCCCTCTATCTGGCCCATCCTCCTGATGCTACATAAAACATAGTACACTCCACCTCTGATACAATGGTGGGTGTTTGTGTGCCTATAGTATTCTAGTCGGGTCACAGATCTGTACTGTACGTGCTTAAGCTGTCATTTGTTGCTATGCCACACCAGCACAAACAGATCTGCAACCAGGCTACAGCTGGTATTCATATAGATTCATGAGTCAGCAAAATCCTGCTGCCATAGAAGTGAGGTCTTAGTGGTGCTCTGTGGCCTGGGCTATCATCAAACTGAGTGGCTCACCCGTCATCTCTCTTGTTAGTCTGCAGCTCTTCCAGATAGATGGACTGGAGAACCTCAATCTCAGACAGCACACTGTAGAGAGGAGATGTAGCCAATGTCAATGAATGATGCAACAATCTGATGTTACAGCAACAATTGCTTGAATTGTAACTTATTAACTTACTGCAGAGCAGGATCATTAGCTAGCTAAACCAAATGTAAAATGTAGAACCTGCATAGCTCAGTGAATCATGTGTGGCAAATTATCAAACTAGCTATAAAATGACAACAGGGTCGTTCAACCTCAAAAAGCACAAGCAAGAGGATTGACACCCACCATCTCAGATTGTTCTGAAATTGTTTCTGTTAGAAACAGATAAGATTACCATTCCTGCAACATTATTTTGTCTAAATATAATTTGATCTCTGAGAAACTAAACTAATTGATTGCACCCAAATTGGCTAATTGAATTAATAGGATTCATATAATATTAAATAAATATAGTACCAAACACCTGATTTGGACCAAACTTTTTTTCCAACAATGAGTTAGACATGAGGAATCCAAAGAAATGGTCAAAAGCCACCCATGGACGCCCATGCCAATCCCACCCCAACAACGAGTATATTGTATCAGTTCTCTATGTCAGACAAGTAGTATGGAGCTGCGGCTCAGAGTATTGTTTCTTCATCCTATGTAATGTTTTCTCAGTGAATTTGGTGATGGTTTTTACCCCCCTGTTCAGAGAAATTAGTAATTAAAGTTGTTAGGTTTATGTCCCATCCTACATCCTGATATAACCAGGTTCTGACCACTAGATGGTGTGGTTCCAGGTGTTTTTTAAGAACCCCCCATGCTTTGGTTGTTGTCCACTAACTTTTTAGCATTTGTGACACAAATCCAATGCAAGTCAATGGTGCCTATATTAGAATTTTCACACTTCATGTCCAAATCATTCTAAAGTATCTCAAAATGTATTGTGTACTATAGATGATTTGGATGTGAAAATGATAATATAGGTACAGTGCCTATAAAAAGTCTACACCCCCTTGAACTTTCACATTTTGTTGCATTACAAAGTGGGATTGAAATAGATTTATTGTAACTTTTTGTCATTGATCTACACAAAATACTCCATAAAGTCAAAGTGAAAAGACAATAATACACATTTTTACAAATTTATAAAAATTTAATAACTCAAATATAGTCGTTGCATAAGTATTCACCCCATTTGTTTATGCAAGCCTAAATTAGTTCAGAAGTAACATTTTGGCTTAACAAATCACATAAGTTATATGGACTCAATGTGTGTGAAATAATACGGGTTGACATGATTTTTGAATGACTACCCCTTCCTCTGTCCCCCATACATTAATCTGTAAGGTCCCTCAGTCAAGTATTGAATTTCAAGCACAGATTCAACTACAAAGACCAGGGAGCTTTTCGAAAACCTCATAAAGAAGGGCAGTGATTGGTAGATGGGTAGCAATAACAAATCAGACATTGAATATATCATTAAGCATGGTCAAGTTAATAGTTATGCTGTGGATGATTTATTAAACCACCCAGACACATCAAAGATGCAGTCGTCCTTCTGAACTGAGCTGCAGGACAGGAAGGAAACTGCTTAGGGATGTCACCATGTGGCCATTGGTGATTTTAAAACAGCTAGAGTTCAATGGCTGTGATGGGAGAAAACTGAGGATGGATCAACAACATTGTAGTGACTCCACTAGCGCTGTCCCCGACAAAAAAATATCGACCAAGAGTAGCCTGTTCTTTCGACCAATTCATTTTTTTACGTGTCTTTTTCCATATATTAGACACATCGTATGTGTTTTAATCAAATCAACTATATGCACTGAGCTTGTCCGATGCTTTAAGCGAACTGTTTGATGAAATAATTAAGACACAAATGACTAGAGGGAGTCCGACCGCAATTGATCTGATGGTGCCGCCTGGCTCAAACTTACTGCGCTGTGTTAAAAAAAAAAAAGCACCCATTGACTTCCTCTCCTCCCTGCTGCAGCGACCACCACAGAACACCAGTGAGTATAGCACTGTCCGTGTTGCTGAAGCTGCAACATAATTACAGCCAGTTCTGACTGAAAAGTTGTTACCAAAATCCCTCATTTGTTTAGGAAAAAGACATTCCCTATTCCCTCAACCCTTGCTCTCTTTACGTGACACGTATGCATCGTATACACGTGACCAATAAGGCCTGACCTATAGCATATCTTAATCACATCAATAAATTGGTTGTAACAAACTCTGAACACCTTAACACGTGACAGCAAGAGGTAAAGGGGAAGTCAGATGTGTGGAATAAATGTGACTAGTTGTGGAAAATACTGGAGATCAACAAAAATAATGTATGGTGCAAGCGCTGCGTGCATATTAGGCCTGTGTGTGCCAAACAGGTGCTGTTAGATTACAATATACATTTTTCTGACCGTTTGGAACAATGTAAAGAACACTAAATAAATTATAAGCGTACCAGAGAGTCTGTTGTACTGTTTTTTTTTGTAAAGCCTTTATTACAGCAAAGACAAAAAACTGTCACATGTATTTGTGAACGGAATTTCCTAAATAGAACGGTTTAGGCCTATTTACCCTAATTATTCAATGGTTGCTTTATTATTTTTTTAAAAACTAAAATGCTTGATTGCATTTCACATCATGAATGACTCGTATGCTGTGTGATGACATGAACTAATAAATTATTGATTGATACAGTAGCCTATATAAGTGTTGAAATATAGGCCTAAGTAAGTTACGGTATTAAGACTAAACAGGATGCGCACTTAGGCCTACAGCTCGATGGTGGTTATACAAGGTTGCTATACTAAGCCTACTAATTATATTACTTATTATTATTATAATGACAATAATAATAACAACAATAAGGAGATCAAGGAAAAAGGAGGGTTATTATTCTAAATATAATTTCGGACTATTTGAAACAGTGTACATTCAATAAATTACAAATACCACCAGAGGCGCTGGTCTAATGAAAAAAGTGTCAAGCCTTTATTACAGCATAGCAAAGATTAAGAACAGCCGAATTTGTGAAATTGTTGAGTGAGGCTTGGTGCTCACGGAATCAGTAGGCTATCAACCAAACATTCAAACAGGCAACAGAAGCAGGATCTGTCTTATTTCTGTAGATATACACTACCAGTCAAAAGTAGACACACCTACTCATTCAAGGGTTTTTCTTCAAGTGTTAAACAAATCAAAATATGTGTTATATTTGAGATTCTTCAAATAGCCACCCTTTGCCTTGATGACAGCTTTACACACTCTTGGCATTCTCTCAACCAGCTTCATGAGGTAGTCACCTGGAATGCATTTCAATTAACAGGTGTGCCTTCGTAAAAGTTAATTTGTGGAATTTATTTCCTTCTTAATGCATTTGAGGTGGGTATACAAAAGATAGCCCTATTTGGTAAAAGACCAAGTCCATATAATGGCAAGAACAACTCAAGTAAGCAAAGAGAAACGACAGTCTATCATTACTTTAAGACATGAAGGTCAGTCAATCCGGACAATTTCAATAACGTTGAAAGTTTCAAGTGCAGTCGCAAAAACCATCAAGCGCTATGATGAAACTGGCGCTCATGAGGACCTCCACAGGAATGGAAGACCCAGATTTACCTCTGCTGCAGAGGATAAGTTCATTAGAGTTACCAACCTCAGAAGTTGCAGCACAAATAAATGCTTCACAGAGTTCAAGTCACAGACACATCTCAACATCAACTGTTCAGAGGGGACTATGTGAATCAGACCTTCGTGGTCAAATTGCTGCAAAGAAACCACTACTAAAAGGACACCAACAAGAAGAAGAGACCTGCTTGTGCCAAGAAACACAAGCAATGGACATTAGACCGGTGGAAATGTGTACTTTGGTCTGATGAGTCCAAATTTGAGATTTTTGGTTCCAACCGCCGTGTCTTTGTGAGACGCGGTGTGGGTGAACGGATGATCTCAGCATGTGTAGTTCCCACCGTAAAGCATGGAGGAGGTGGTGTTATGGTGTGGGGGTGCTTTGCTGGTGACACTGTCTGTGATTGATTTAGAATTCAAGGCACACTTAACCAGCATGGCTACCACATCATTCTGCAGCGATACACCATCCCATTTGGTTTGGGCTTAGTGGGACTGTCATTGTTTTCAACAGGACAATGACCCAACACACCTCCAGGCTGTGTGAGGGCTATTTGACCAAGAAGGAGAGTGATGGAGGCTGCATCAGATGACCTGGCCTCCACAATCACCCGACCTCAACCAAATTGAGATGGTTTGGGATGAGTCGGAGTGTGCAAAGCTGTCATCAAGGCAAAAGGGTGGCTATTTGAAGAATCTCAAATATAAAATATATTTTGATTTGTTTAACACTTTTTTGGTTACTACATGATTCCATATGTGTTATTTCATAGTTTTGATGTCTTCACTATTATTCTACAATGTAGAAAATAGTAAAAATAAAGAAAAACCCTTGAATGAGTAAGTGTGTCCAAACTTTTGACTGGTACTGTATATGGATGATTTATAAAGCCTCACTTAGACAATTTAGACAATTAAGGCAAGGGCAGTTCTCATCTCCTAACTATGTTGCCTCTGCCGCATTGTTCTCAACACCAATATGCTGGTTAACTTTGCTATTATGCACATATCAACATGGTCTAGGAAAAGGAGCCAATTCAACAGCGCACTGATGTGTTTCAGAACCGCGGACAGCGACCACTATCCAATGCGGGAGAAAGCGCATTTGTTATAAAATAATATAATTTGTTTTGTGTTGCACCATTGTTCTTACATAATATAACCAAATACAATTTCAGTAGCACATCTTAGAGTGATGGCATCCAAACGGCCTCCATCCCAACAGCCTCCACAATGGACCAGTCCACTCAGACAGGCGTGAATCAGACAGGTGTCTTGTACACCATGATAATTTTTTTTATTGTATATTTTGCTATTGCTCGACTAAATAAATCTCGGTCAACCAACAGCCTATCGACCAAAAAACACTGCAAAGGAATACACTTTTATGCTTAAATGCAAAGCCTTATGTTTGGGGAAAATCCAACACAACGTCACTGAGTAACTGCCTCCATATTTTCAAGCTTGGTGGTGGCTGCATCATGGTAAGGGTATGCTTGACATCGGAAAAGACTGGGGAGTTTTTCAGGATGAAAAGAAATGGGATGGAGCTAAGCACAGACAAAATCCTAGAGGAAAACATGATTCAGTCTGCTTAACGCCTGACACTAGGACAGGAATTCACCTTTCAGCAGGACAATAACCTACAACAATGCCAAATCTATACTGGAGTTGCTTACCAAGAAAACAGTGAATGTTCCTGAGTGGCCAAGTTAGTTTTCACTTATTCAGTATTTCCTTAAAAATCTATGGCAAGACTTGAAAATTGCTGTCTAGCCATGATGCCCAACACCTCGACAGAGCTTGAAGAATTTTGAAAAGAATAATGGGCAAATTATGCACAATACAGATGTGCAAAGCTCTAATGAGCCTCCTGTAGCTCAGTTGGTAGAGCATAGCGCTTGCAACGCAAGAGTTGTGGGTTCGATTCCCACAGGGGGCCAGTATGAAAAATGTATGCACTCACTAATTGTAAGTCGCTCTGGATAAGAGCGTCTGCTAAATGACTAAAATGTAAAAAAATAAAATACCCAAGAAGACTCACAGCTGTAATCGCTGCCAAAGTTGTTTCTAACATTGATTCAGGGGGGTGAATACCTATCTAATCAAGGTATAAGTGTTTTATTTTTTCATAATCTTTTAAAAAAATGTTAGAGTATTTTGCGTAGATCGTTGACAAAAAAATGACAATTAAATCCATTTTAATCCTACTTTGTAACAAAATGTGAAGAAATCCAAGGGGGGTGTAGACTTTCTATTTGGCACTTTACCATTGACTTGCATTGGATTTGTGTCACAAATGCTAAAACGTTAGCATTTGAAACAGTGGCCAGGTAAACAAAACCAAAGCATGGGTTGCTGTTACCCTGTAAGCCATTTATGGACAAGGTAAGGAAACCAATGTCATTTTGGTTAATTATCCCTTTAACATTGAGGGGCTGTTTTTTTTAAATCACCTACTAGCAGGAACAACACCATCTAAATGGTCAGAACCTGGTAATATCAGGATGTAGGATAGGACATTAACCTAACAACTTCAATGACTAATTTCTCTGAACGAAAAAAAAAAAAAAAAAAACATCACCAAATTCAATGAGAATACATTTGATAGGACGAAGAAACAATACTCAGAGCCGCAGCTCCATACTACTTGTCACTCGTTGTTGCGGTGGGTTTGGTGTGAGTGGTCCATGGCTGGCTTTTGACAATTTCTTTGGATTCCTCATGCCTTACTCATTGTTAGAAAAAAGTTTGGTCAAAATCAGATGTTTGGTACTATATTTATTGGATATTAAGAATTCTATAAATAAAAATTGCCAATTTGGGTGCAATCGATTAGCTTATTCATTTAGCAGAGATCATATTACAGTTCACCAAAATAATGTGGCAGGAATACTAATCTTATCGGTTTCTAACTACAGAAATGATTTCAGTACAATCTGAGATGGTGGGTGTCATGGCTTGCTGAAATGACATGGAACGAACCAACACTGAAACAGAATCGGGCCTTACGGGAGACGTTGAACATAGCGATTCTCCTCGCCATGTTCAACGCATCCATTAAGGCCAGATTCTGGTTCAAGCAGATATAAGCTTAGTGTATTTTCCTAAATGGACATCAGCTAACTAGTACTGTATGTAATATCTTTGGTAAGTTACAATGTTGAACAAACAACTGGCTTGTAAGAGACTTTTCGCATGATCACAACATGCATCATCCCCTGCACTCAGCTGTCTTGTTGGGTAACTGAGTGGAGCTAGCAAGCTAGCCAAGTATCGTCACACGCTAGCGACACATAGCTAGCTAACCACAATCTACAAAGTACATATCATTCGAAGATACATTTTCAATTAAATGGTATCGTATTGCATATGAATTAACGTATTATACAAGCATTTGACACATTTTCTCCACCTACACGCTCTCATCAACAAACTCACTCGTTTTCAGCGGCCATCTTCGTTCCAAGGACCAGGACAACTTCTTCTTCTATTTCTTCTTCTTCAATGGTATATTGGCGACCGCACAACTTAATGTGCATACCGCCACCTACTGTGCGGGGTTTAAACAGGAACTTGAACTAAATACCCCCCCCCCCACCCCAAACTGCAAAAAAAAAAAAAAAAAAAAAATCTACTCAACTAAATCAAACAACTTTTCTGTTAAAAAAATTAAACATATCTGATCCCTACACAGGCTCAAGGGGAACCTGTGAGGGAGGGTCTTCCAGCGCCAGTACCCCTTGCAAGTCTTCAGATGTAAAATCCTTGAGTCCCAAAAACCTTTCTGCCGCAGCCACAAACATGTCCAGTTTCTTAGACTTCTTTGAGACTTGTGCCGTACAGTTTATAACTGTGGCAATGAACGCAACAAAATCCACCTTTTTAACACACAGGGTATCTTTTGACTGGCAGCAAACATTTACTACAGGCTGTGGTGCATCCAAAACCATATCTTCACTTGCATCACTTGTTTTCTAAATTATTTTAAATCGCCTCCACATAGCAGATTCGATTGACTGCTCTAACTTGCCACCTCAATCCTCTTCACCCTTACAGGGCACTCCAGGAACTAGGGATCATGATCCCCAACACAACTGCAACACCATCGTCCTTCTACACACCGTTCTTCAATATACTCTGTCCATCTGCACACACTTGAAACATGACCAAATCCTTTACAATTCTTACACATTAATGGTTTGGGAACGAAAGCTCTTACAGCGTATCTTAAATAACCAAGCTTCACATGCATAGGTATTTGCTCTTTTTCAAAAAAACAACAGGACTGACAGAGTTTCTTCTTTTCACCCACCGGGTCAGACGCCGGGCACCAACCACACCAGGAATTTTCTTCAGGTATTCAACCTGAACATCCGTCGTCACCCCTGAGATGACTCCTTTGACGGGTGCTCTACTTCGAAGTTCAAAACACAAAACGTCTGTTGTTCGGATTCTTTTGAGGCTCACTGCAATCTTCCTCTGTTCTTCAGAAATACAATTAATCAAAATAAGACCTCTCCTGGTCACTCTGTCAGACTCCACTTTTCCCAGCATATACAGTACCAGTTTTCTACATTGTAGAATAATAGTGAAGACTTCAAAACTATGAAATAACACACATGGAATCATGTAGTAACCAAAAAGTGTTAAACAAATGAAAATATATTTTATATTTGAGATTCTTCAAATAGCCACCCTTTGTCTTGATGACAGCTTTGCACACTCGTGGCATTCTTTCAACCAGCTTCACCTGGAATGGTTTTCCAACAGTCTTGAATGAGTTCCCACATATGCTGAGCACTTATTGGCTGCTTTTCCTTCACTCTGCGGTCCAATTCTTCCCAAACCATCTCAATTGGGTTGAGGTCAGGTGATTGTGGAGGCCAGGTCATCTGATGCAGCACTCCATCACTCTCCTTCTTGGTCAAATAGCCCTTACACAGCCTGGTGGTCTGTTGGGTCATTGTCCTGTTGAAAAACAAATGATAGTCCCAATAAGCGCAAACCAGATGGGATGGCGTATGGCTGCAGAATGCTGTGGTAGCCATGCTGGCAATTTGAAGAATCTCATATATAAAATATATTTTGATTTGTTTAATACTTTTTAGGTTACTACACTTTTTAGGTTATTTCTATATGTGTTATTTCATAGTTTTGATGTCTTCACTATTATTCTACAATGTTGAAAATAGTAAAAATAAAGAAAAACCATTGAATGAGTAGGTGTGTCCAAACTTTTGACTGGTACTGTATATATTTTCAGTTTGCGAGTGATATGGGGATTGGAGACATGTTTATTTTGACATTATAAAGAAAAACCTGGAAAACCACATCAGTGTCCATCTTTTGGCTGTGAAACAGTGCAGTGCATGATCCTCATGATTCCTGTAATGAAAGTGTCCGCCTTGTGCCTGTGCCCCTCGCTGGGGCCTGCTACTGTGATGAGCGAGCCACTCTCCTCTCCCCCCATTTCACTGAAGAGAAAGATGCGTTCTCATTATATAACATTTCAGAATGCAATTGCAGGAAAAACACAGATTTAGAAGCTTCAGCCCCTTGTCCCAGTCGAACTCTCAATATTCAGCTCAATAGCAACTATTTTACAGCCAAGATATTCGATATGGCTTTGAGATATGGAGCGGTGTGCACACAAAATGGGTACCAAAATCGCCATCTGCCGGCCTGGTATAGTGAATGTTGAGGTCTGAAATACATTAAGTTTGAAGCATAGGTTTGGAGATTCCAAAGTAATAATACATTTATCTTTCTGGAGCTAAGCCTCTCCCATTGAATATTCATTATATTGGCCCTTCAAAAACTAATTCAAAGTGTTGTGATCTTGAACATAACCCAAATTTGTCTTCACATGGCTTTATGCCTCTTACTTATTTTCTTTAAGTGGGCTGTTGGTAAGTGCCCTAATTATCAACATTGAAGCACTGGCAAAAACGGACTTTAAATGATGGATATACTGGATAATGTGTATTAAACACTTGGGAATCTCGTGTTAATTTACCACACAAAGAAAAGAAAGGTAAACAAGTGTGTAACGGGGTTCAGCATTGAAATACTGATTATTTTTCTTCTTCAACACTTTCAATGTGTTAGCAATGGCATAGTGCATATAAAGGCACACAGATTTACTTTATTGCTCACTGTTTATTTAGACATGTTATCTTTTTCATTACAAATAAGACAGATACATCACTCTAGTCACTTTTGAAGTCATTAGTGTATTTCCTAAATTAGGGGTTTTAATGACAATTTGACACTTTCGGGATCCAGTTTCCCTTTTAATGATAAAATGACATTAATATACATTCATAAAAATAACTGCTAAGGTAAAAATTCAGCACGTCCTTAACATCTTGGAATCTTGTCTCAGTGCAATGTCAACATGTAATGTCCTGGCTCTTTTCCCATGAGTGCAGACAGACTTTGGATGCTCGACTCTCCATTGGTCTGTCCTGTTCTTAGAAATCTCCTCCCTTTCTCTCCCTCAGCAACACTTCTTCCCCCTCTTCCTCCTCTCTCTGTGTCTGTGAGAGTTGATGTCGACCGTTTCCTTCTCTCGTTCCCGCTCTCTCTCTGCACGACTCTGACTCTGCTTCTTTGTCCGAAGGACCATGTGAGTGAACGCCATAAACATCTGAGAGAAGGAAGGAGAGATGGGTAGTGGGAGAGAGAGAGGGGGAGCGGGAGAGGTAGAAGGTGAAGGAGAGAGACAGGGCAATGACTGTAAAATACATACACACCCTGATACATAGCAGTACACACGGAAGTGCTATTCCTTGGAAAGGGAGTGACCGCCATGACTAAGGTGAAATAAGATAACCGTTTTATAAAAGGACACACAACAGTAATAAGAAATGCTGTGACATATCAGGTCCCAAGCTCAGCTTTCCCAAAGACATCCGGGAGATTTGAGGCTTTAGTTTTATTTTGATGGAGCTGACTATTTTTATTTTATTATTATTACTAGGAGGAAGCGACTGAGGTGCCCCCAGGGTTTAGAACATGGCTGCTAGGCTCACCTCTTCCACGTTGATGTTTTCTTTGGCGCTCGTCTCAAACACCCGGACGCCCACCGACTCCCCGAAACACATTGCATCCTGGGAGTCCACCTGCTTCTTGGAGGGGTCGTCATTCTTGTTCCCCACTGAGGGATGGCAAGAGAGAGAAGTGGGGATGAATAAAATAGGTTTTGGACAGCATAGTACACTACATGACCAAAAGTATGTGGACACCTGCTTGTCGAACATCTCATTCCAAAATCCTGGGCATTAATATGGAGTTGGTCCCCCCTTTGCTGCTATAACAGCCTCCACTCTTCTGGGAAGGCTTTCCACTAGATGTTGGAACATTACTGCAGGGACTTGCATCCATTCAGCCACAAGAGCATTAGTGAGGTTGGGTACTGATGTTGGGCGATTAGGCCTGGCTCGCAGTCGGCATTCCAATTCATCCCAAAGGTGTTCGATGGGGTTGAGGTCAGGGCTCTGTGCAGGCCAGTCAAGTTCTTCCACACCGATCTCGACAAACCATTTCTGCATGGACCTCGCTTTGTGCATGGTGGCATTGTCATGCTGAAACAGGAAAGGGCCTTCCCCAAACTGTTGCCACAAAGTTGGAAGCACAGAATCGTCTAGAATGTCATTGTATGCTGTAGCGTTAACATTTACCTTCACTGGAACTAAGGAGCCTAGGCCAAACCATGATAAACAGCCCCAGACCATTATTCCGTCGGACTGCCAGATGGTGAGGCGCGATTCATCACTCCAGAAAACCCATTTCCACTGCTCCAGAGTCCAATGGCGGCGAGCTTTACACCACTTGGCATTGCGCATGGTGATCTTAGGCTTGTGTGAGGCTGCTCGGCCATGGAAACCCATTTCATGAAGCTCCCGATGAATAGTTATTGTGCTGACGTTGCTTCCAGAGGCAGTTTGGAACTCGGTAGCGAGTGTTGCAACCGAGGACAGATCATTATTATGCGCTTCAGAACTCGGCGGTCCCATTCTGTGAGCTTGTGCGGCCTACCACTTCACGGCTGAGCCGTTGTTGCTCCTAGACGTTTCCACTTCACAATAACAGCACTTACAGTTGACCGGGGAAGCTCTAGCAGGGCAGAAATTTGACTAAATGACTTGTTGGAAAGGTGGCATCCTATGACGGCGCCACGTTGAAAGTCACCGAGCTCTTCAGTAAGGCCATTCTACTGCCAATGTTTGTCTATGGAGATTGCATGGCCGTGTGCTCAATTTTATACACCTGTCAGCAACGGGCGTGTGGCTGAAATAGCCGAATCCACTCATTTGAAAGGGTGTCCACATACTTTTGGATATATAGTGTATGTCTATCAGTTCACAATCAGGCATAACGCTAGCACATTGGACTGGAAGTCAAAGTCATTCCTCAGTGAATTTTCCTTATTCCTAATTTTCTATCCATTCATCCAATCTACTCTTTCTCTTCATCCATCAATCCATCACCTCAGCACACCAAACTCACCCAGGATCTTACAGACGCTGTCACAGTTCTGACTGATCTCATTAAGCCACCTCTTCACGTTCACAAACGACTCTGGGTTGGTGACGTCGTAAACAATAATCACACCGTGGGTATTTCTGTAATACCTGGTAGGAGAAACAGGGAGAGGGAGAAAGGGGAAAATAGCAAAGGATTGTAAAGAGCAGTGTATAAAAACAGGAAATCATGGCATTGTTTTTCAGGGGACAGTTATCGTTGGCTGGCACTCTGTCCAGGGCTGGTATCAATAGCACTTAACTGAGTTAATGACTATAAAACAAAGAAAGAAACTGAAATTGAGCCTAAATCTGACAGTGGGTTTCAGAACCAACTGTGGTCATAAACAGCGTTTGTATTGACATATTGATGTCTAGCTTCTATACATGTAGATAGATTATTGATATAGATGATGGATTACGTTGAGGTGATGGTCCTGAAGCGCTCCTGGCCCGCCGTGTCCCAGATCTGCAGTTTGACTCGCTCCCCGTCGATGTCCACCGTACGGATCTTAAAGTCCACGCCGATCGTAGTGATGTAGCTACCTGCAGGCCAAAGCAGAGAGGTTAGAAACACACTCTTGAAGAAAATATAGGAAACACAGTTCCTAACCACTCACACATTCACATCATTTAATAGTATATATTGACCAGATAGAGAACAGCAACTCACCAGAGAAGGAGTTATCTGCAAATCGTAGTAGTAGACTGCTTTTCCCTACATCTAGAACAGAGAGGTCAGACAGGGATGAGAGGTAAGGTGATTAGGCCTCTCTTCATTCACTTCTGAGTATACAGTATCAGGCTACATTACTATCAGGCATATCACTACATCATGAGTAAATGTTTTAAAATCTATCATATTTTCTGAAGAGTTAGCGACAAATAATTATCCTTCATCAGTCATCAGAGCTGTAAGCTTGGTGAGTAAGTGAGGCATGTCCATCATAATCACCCAATGATAAGCAGATTGACTGATATTTGCTGTGTTACTAAGGAGCTTAAACAGTAATATTAACCTAGTCCGTTAAATCACACAATATGAGCTGCCTGCTAAACATCAGTGTCACAGCACAGCTACACTTGAATTGCACTACTATTTCAACACAGACAGAGTAAGCACTAAGGGACCACAGGAACTTTGTATGAAGGAGGAAGTTAAGATGCACTGACTGGAGTCTCCAATGATGAGCAGTTTGAAGAGATGGTTGTAGTCCTTTCCCGGCCCCGCCATTTCTGCAGACAGTGCTCTGTTGGTTTCAGTAATTCTCTCCCAATAAATGCAGTTCCACAGGAATAGATTCCAGTCTTCCCAAATCCCAGGATGAAACAGTATTTCCCCCCCCCCAATGCTACCAGTTCAGAATGGAAGAAGATTTTGTACAGAAAACATCCTCAAAACACTTGCATTGCAATTTCATTTCCAGTTTATTTCCCAGATCAGTTCCAGTCCACTCCAGAATTCTTAATCAATATTACAAACGATTCCTGTTACCGCCAAAGTGCAATAATTACCAGTTAATTCAAAGCGTATTTCCAGTTTAGTACATGGCATTCTGTTGTCGTGCTAAGGCCTCTGTTGGTTCTGGTTCCACCTCAGTTCCAGTTCCTCCCACTAACTCCAGTAAGGGGATTCCCAGTTCATTGCAGCACCACATTCCGACTCATCACAGGTTCACCTAAGTTCTCTTTCCACCAGTCCAGTGCAGAAATGTGTTTTTCCCCCCCTTAAAGTTGGACTGTAGTGACAGACGGAGAAGGACTTCTGACACTTGAAACTCTACAAGGGCAAAGAGACTATCCTCATCACATTGCGGCCTGGCAGAGTCAGTCACTTCCTCCATGAGCACCTGAAAGTGCTCATAGTTGTTGGTCTATGTGTCCAAGGTACACAGATTGTTGTTGCTTGATTAGCTAATACTTAGATATTCCAGTGGGTAGCCTATGGATGTAAGGATTCACGTCACTGCTCTTCTCAGTTACCACTCTTGCTTTTCCCACGGTCTCGCTGTCAAGTTATCACGCACCTCTTACAAGGAACAAAATAACAAGCAGAGGGGCCTTAAAGGTTGGACAAGCAGAGACCGAAAGCAAAAATCTGAGAGCGTTCTTCCTCTTTCAATCTACAGTCCATGCAACGTTTTCATCCATTGAACTGCTTCGGTCTCAATCCCTTGGTTTCACTTCCTCTCTGAGCTATGGGAGGAGAAATGGTGGGCACCTCACAGTATTTGGTTTGTTTCAGGCTTTCCTCAGTTCCCTTGTTTGGACCTTACCCTGAAAAATAAAGTCTGTATGGCACATTTATCAATGACAATATACAGGGACAGCACAAGGAGACATTAACCTGTAGTCTGTCATTGTCAAAAATTCCCTGACCATATGCCAACCCAGTCCCTGTATGCACCCTCCCCTCCCTGTTCACTAGAACAGCTGTGTCTCTAAATTTAATGTTTCCAACCGTTTGCCCTCTCTCCACACACTCATTAAATATAGGCCTATCTGAACCACACCTATATGAAACATCAGCCTGCATATATATGGTTGAAGGTGAAATGGATTGGGAAGAGGTTAAAACAAAATGTTGGGGGAAAGGTTATAGGGTTAAATAGTAGAGAGGGTATAGGTATCATACATTTTTTTTTATTTGATATTGACTAAGTTAAAGTATTTTCAGGGCCAGCTCAAGAATCCCTCAAATCTGTCCGCGTCGCCGATTTAGGGCGAAAGAACTGAGGACTTTTTTGTTCCATAATAAAAACAGGAAAGAGTACATGAGGCGGGCGAGTTAGTTCTTGAAAGTGAATCCTGACACATTGGTACAAAGTTAAAATATTTGCTAGGGCTTCTTCTTCATCGTGATTATCAATGAAAACATTACTGAAAACCCTGGGAAAGGGTCCCTCCCTAGTCCCTACCCAAACCTACAATCGTCAGCTGTCTGTGAGAAAAACAAGCTGGCTAGGTCGCAACAATAACACACTTCCTAAATTAGCTACAATCGCAAACTACTCAAAAACAGTTGATGACACAAACCACAACGTTTGCTTTAGTTAAACCATAGAAATGTGGGTTGAACACACTTACCTACCATGTAACCAGAGGACATTATCACCCGCAATGATCTGCAGTGACTGCCTGAGCTGAGGCTACATTCGTTTGTATCCGGGATCTTCGGGGATTGCTATATTAGCTAGCCGCTCGCCCACAGACGAAGTTAAAAGTTACTTTCTCATAAAAATTGGATAAACACAAAACACAACTCAGCTAGATAACTGTATAGGAAGATTTCCTCGAGAGTAGTTAAGTTTCTATGCTTATTTCAAACGCGTCGTGCTACAAAACGATGACTTGGTCAGTCGGAAGGAGGTCAGTCGGAAGGAGAATAAGAGGATCTGTTGACCGTTACAGACGTCTTGGTTCCGGAGGGATGACTCAGGAAAGTTTGGAGCCTGAGACTGGTCAACGGCCCGAAGTCTTCAGGCCACACCTGAGTGTTGTTGAGTCACTCACATCCAAATCATGTGCTTCTCCCTCCTCTCTGTTCACCAAATTTCCCATCATGCCCAATGTGCTTTATCTTGTCTCATCAATACATACAAAAAACTAAATAAATAGGGCTGTGTATAATATACTTGTTTAATGGGATTATTATAGTAGTAGGCTGGGTTACTTACTATCTCTACAAATATGAAATAGAAACACTGGGGAGATAACCCAATATTCTAGAAATCTAAATTGATCAATCCAAGACTTTATGTAGACAAGACATTCAGCTATTTCAGACAACGTATTCCTTCAGAGCATAATGCAGGGGTTAATTTATCATCAAGACTGATGCACAGATATGGAAAAGCGATCAAAATATTTTATTATCATACAAAAACATCAGGATGAATCCTGGAATGGGCGTCCTTTGGACAAGAGAGGCATGCGTTTTATGTACAGAATTGTGTAGTACAATTAATCAAGACATACCACATTATGAGCTTAAAATCGGGTTATATGTGTGTCCTCAGAAAGACAGCGAGAAGGTTCTGTAGGACAGGTTGGTGAATACGTCTATCTGGTGACTGCTTCCACCTACTGTCAGCACCTGGAACAGCAAAGACAACAGAAGACAACATGTACTGAGGCGTCGATGTGATGTGGACAAAACAATTTATTACATTTTAGTCATTAGTATACTTTTTTCGTACTGGTATCCCTTGGTAATCGAACCTACAACCTGGCGTTGCAAGGGCCACGCTCTACCAACTGAGCCACACAGGATTTATGAACGAGAACAGGAAGACAACAAGGGCGATGAGCGAAGGAGGACATTTAACCTGAGGGGTTGGATGAGTAATATAGAGTGTTCAGATGGTCTGTCTAACGACTCTCACCCTGTGTTCAGTGCTGTTGAGGTTAAGTGCCAGCGTGTTGAGGGAGTGGGGGGTGCAGGGGATCTGAGCCTTTACCTCTCCCCCCAGGAGACAGTGGGACACACACTGGCCCTCACCCACCGACAAGATCTACAGGTGGGGGGGGAAGAGGTCACAAATACACACACTGAGAGAAAGACAAACCCATAAACGCTCTTTCTTCCTTCCCACACACAGTCTGACCCACACACACCCACCCTGAAGATCACACACACTCTTATCTCACCATGTCCTGGTAAAAGTTGGCTTGTCGCTGGCATCCAGAGAGAGGGAAGATGGAGGTGGGTGACATGGAGCGGAGGTGCCATAGAGAGAGGGATGGGCCTCCTCCACAGAGCTGGTGGGGGAAAATAAGGGACAGGGGTTAGGGAGAATTATTTAATTACATTAAAGGAGATCAAATTGCAGGAGGAAATGATGAGTAATGATACAGTATCTGAATTGGGGAGAAAAAAATTCTGGCATCTCGACTTTTCATCCTGAAGGAGTAAAAGATAACAGCTTGAGACGTTCAACAGGTGGAGTCGACCCTAATGTATCGCCACGGCAACCACACTGATAACAACATAAGTGCCACATTTCATACTGAGGTACTGAACAAGTCTGGACCAGTGTTGCCAACTCCTCAGTAAGGAAAGTAGCTATTGGCTGCCCTAAAAGTCGCTAATTTACGTCATCGCCTAATTTGCATAATTGGCCATGTGCATGTAATTGTGATGACACGGTAGGAGAGGAATAACGTCGTGGGAGAGACAAAAAGTGAGTAAAAAGCTGCGCGAGGACTGGGCCGCCTGTGAGTGCTTTGGGACGGGGGGGGGCTCCCACCCCCACAGCAGCACCCGCTGCTCGTTGAGAAGAGGAGAAGAGTAAGAATGATACGTGCTTTCACGTCAGTCTCCAATAACACCAGAAAAAGTCACTAGATTTGTTGCTAGTCGCTTTTTTTATGTGTAGCTAGAGGGGTCTGAATACTCGCTAAATATAGCGACAAAGTCGCTAAATTGGCAACGCTGGTCTGGACAATGCCTAGAAAGAGAGCGAGCTCATCCGATGAGGAAGGGACTGTTAATAGAGAAGGAAAAAACAACTAATCGCAAGGGCTGCCCTTTCCTCACCATCCAATCAGAGTCGGTCGTCAGGCAGCTGATCCACTTGCCATATTGGGGGCGTGCACAGTCCTAGGAAGAGAGAGAGGGCGTGAGACAGAGAAGTGAGAGAGTAGTTTGATGTGTATTTTGTTCCGCAATCTGCAGAAAAGGTGCCATAAAATAGGTATGTCAAATGTTCAACCTGCTGCTCGGCAGGCCCCATGAACGCTCTATTGTAGACTGCCTGTCTGGTTAAATTGTGTTTAGGAGCATTTTTTAATCTCTAAAAATGGTTAAACTAGTGAGAAATGTGATAATTGAAAAAGTCTGTTAGTTTGCTTAATTTACTTTCATCGTAAATGAAGATAATTATTTTGCCATCTCTAATTAATGTATATTATACAATTTCCATGATATGGACAGTATGTGTTACTACATTACACAAGCTAACGTTTTGACCACATCGAATTGGGGGGGAATTACCTATCCTTTTCCCTCAGATTGGTGATGTTAGTTTCAAAGTTTATATTCAACACGATGACAAAAGATAAATTGCTTTAAACTGATCAATATCTTTGGTTTTGTACTGTAGATTTTATCATTGGGGTCGCAGGACTTAGAAGGCAGCCATCATTTTCTTTCTCAAATGGCATGGATAATTTGGGGGGGGGGTCGCTCTATGAAAGACGCTAGCAGCACATCAATACACAGACGTGACAGTCAAACGATCACTTAAATAGCAACCAACCGTTGTCACTGTTGATAGCCTATGGAGGGTCGTGATTAGTTGAAAGTGTTTTTCCCCCCCTTCTCCATGATGGCAGCCTCCCAAAATCAATATCCACCATTCCAAAATATAGATAGAAGCCTTCTACAAATTATAATCTAACCAACAACGTATAAGTTATTCCAAGTTTCTATGTGGCCTTTGAATAGTGTTAGTTTAAACAGCGCTACACACCCAAATGTTATATTGATTTCAGCGTGATATCGATGGAAGTGATTAACAAAAAAGTATTGCGTTACCCTTACCACGTTGGCGACCCACTTGAATCAAAATACAACTTCAAAATGTAGCGGTCTTCTACAAATTCTCCTCTAACCAGTGATGTACACATTATTCCCAGATTCCGTGTGTTTTTTGAGCTGTGTTAGTTTTAACAGGACATGCAGCATTACTATTACATTTTAGTCATCAAGAGCAGACGCTCTTATGCAGTGACTTACAGTTTACAGTAGTGTGCATACATTTTCGTACTGGTCCCCCATGGGAATTGAGCCCACAACCCTGGCGTTGCAAGTACCATGCTCTACCAACAACCTCGCGAGACCTCATCTCCCTCCTTTTGCGCAATTGATTTCAATGTGATAATCGATAGGAGTGATTGACAAAACATTGTACAGTCGTGGTCAAAAGTTTTGAGAATGACACAAGTATTGGTCTTCACAAAGTTTGCTGCTTCAGTGTTTTTTAGATATTTTTGTCAGATGTTACTAATTGTATATCTGAAAGTATAATTACAAGCATTCCATAAGTTTCAGGTTTATTTACATTACATAAAGTTTATATGCAAGATCAATATTTGCAGTGTTGACCCTTCTTTTTCAAGACCTCTGCAAATCCCCCTGGCATGCCTGTCAATTAACTTCTGGGCCACATCCTGACTGATGGCAAGCCCATTCTTGCATAATCAATGCTTGGAGTTTGCAGCATTTCTTCTGGGTTGTTTGTTGTCCACCCGCCTCGTTAGGATGACGCCAGAGTTTCATGGGATTAATGGTCTGGGAGTTTTCCTGGCCATGGACCCAACATGTTCGAGGCTTTGTGTTTTCCTCGAGCCACTTAGTTATCACTTTTGCCTTATGGTGCAGGTGCTCCATCATGCTGGAAAAGGCATTGTTTGTCACCAAACTGTTCTTGGATGGTTGGGAGAAGTTGCTCTCGGGGGAGGTACCATTATTTATTCATGGCTGTGTTCTTAGGCAAAATTGTGAGTGAGTCCACTCCCTTGGCTGAGAAGCAACCCCACACATGAATGGTCTCAGGATGCTTTACTGTTGGCATGACACAGGACTGATGGTAGCGCTCACCTTGTCTTCGTCGGACAAGGTGTTTTCCAGATGCCCCAAACAATCGGAAAGGGGATTCATCAGAGAAAATGACTTTACCTCAGTCCTCAGCAGTCCAATCCCTGTACCTTTTGCAGAATATCAGTCTGTCCCTGATGTTTTTCCTGGAGAGAAGTGGCTTCTTTGCTGCCCTTCTTGACACCAGGCCATCCTCCAAATGTCTTTGCCTCACTGTGCGTGCAGATGCACTCACACCTGCCTGCTGCCATTCCTGAGCAAGCTCTGCACTGGTGGTGCCCCGATCCCGCAGCTGAATCAACTTTAGGAGACGGTCCTGGCGCTTGCTGGACTTTCTTGGGCGCCCTGAAGCCTTCTTCACAACAATTGAACCACTCTCCTTGAAGTTCTCGATGATCCGATAAATGGTTGATTTAGGTGCAATCTTACTAGCAGCAATATCCTTGCCTGTGAAGCCCTTTTTGTGCAAAGCAATGATGACGGCACGTGTTTCCTTGCAGGTAACCATGGTTAACAGAGGAAGGACAATGATTTCAAGCACCACCCTCCTTTTAAAGCTTCCAGTCTGTTATTCTAACTCAATCAGCATGACAGAGTGATCTCCATTCTTGTCCTCATCAACACTCACCTGTGTTAACGAGAGAATCACTGACATGTCAGCTGGTCCTTTTGTGGCAGGGCTGAAATGCGTTGGAAATGTTTTTTTGGGGATTAAGTTCATTTTCATGGCAAAGAGGGACTTTGCAATTAATTGCAATTCATCTGATCACTCTTCATAACATTCTGGAATGCAAATTGCCATCATGAAAACTGAGGCAGCACACTTTGTGAAAATTAATATGTGTCATTCTTAAAAATGTTGACCACGACTGTAGTTTGTCTGTCTGTTTTGGTGACCCATGTACCAAAATGCAACATTCCAAAATGTAGCCGACTGTGTTCTGCAGGTTTTCCTCTAACCAGTGATGTAAAAATATATCCAGTTTCCATGTGGTTTTTGAGCCTTGGTAGTTTCAACAGCGCATCCCCCCCCCCCCCCCCCCCCCCCCCCCCCAAGTAATATGATTACCATTGTTGCACATGTATCTGTAGATAGTACATTTTTTGTTTAAGTTTTCAATAGATCACTGTTTCTGCATATTGATTATTGATTTTGACAATTTAAAACTTTTGACATTGTGCTATTTATTAATATGTCTTGTCAACAGGAAGCAACAACAGCATCATTTTCAACTTAAATTTTAGGAATATATCAATTGAACTTTCAACATTAATTTCCATTGGTATTGTACTTAAATCAGGTAACAACTCCTTCATGAGTACAAAAATATGCTGTGATGTATTTATTTTGATGATAACAGAAATCACCAAAACAGGTTTGCCCTGCCTACATATAAACATGTTTTTGGTGAAACAAAATGACTTTTGCATTTATGAAAGATGCTACATTATAACTTCTGTACATATGGAGGGTAGGGGCAGGCACCCACCCATCCCAATACCTTACCTCATATTTGTAGACCTCAATGCAGTGCACGGATTGGCCGGTCCTGCAGTCTGGAGGAAGCGTTCAGAGAGTGAGATACATGACAACACTACAGTATAATGTAATACAGCCATGCATTGATTCCAAATGTGTCAGTCACTGACAGCGGAACCTGAGGCAGTGATGGGTTGATACATCCGTCACTCACCCCATATCCTGACAGCGCCGTCCTCACCCCCAGAGAGGATCTCTCCCTCCCTCTCTCTCACACTCAGACAGTGAATGTAGTCTGTATGACCCTGAAGAACTGACTGGGGGAGGGAGGGAGAGAGAGCAATAAAGAGATTGAACATAAAGGTTAAGTGTGGGATAGCGAGAGAGGGAGGGATGAAGAGAGAAAGAGAATTGGAAGAAAGAGAGGAAGAGAAATTAAAAGAGATGTAACAACAAATAATATTTATATCAATGTTCAACATCACATGGCTAAATCTTGAGACAGAATCGCAGCGATTAATATTTCTCAAACCTTAAAGACGCCACTTTCCAGATCCATTATGTGGATGTTATTGTCCCCTCCACCAATCACTAGACTGTTCTCCTGAGAGAGAGAGAGAGAGAGAGAGAGAGAGAGAGAGAGAGAGAGAGAGAGAGAGAGAGAGAGAGATATTACTCATATGACTCATGACATTAATTTAATAGAGAACTTGTCTCAGTGGAGTGAGGTACTTAATGAAAGTGTCTTTGTACTCACTGTGGGATTGACGGTCATGGCATTGATCTCTGGGATCTCCAGGCTGGATCTGCAAAGAGGAGCATTTATGAAACACACTTGTTGGCTACAAGCATCAGACAGCAAAGACAAACATCTGGAGATAAAATAACCAACACACATGTACACAGTCCACACACAGACACACTTTCTTGTGTTTTCTCAAAACAAACTTACGGCTGATTGGTGCCTTACTTGTAATTTGGCCTCCTTGTCCAAGCAGCCTTGGTATTCTGGGAGAGAGACACAAAGACTTGGTCCATGTCACATACCGTCATAGACTGTATAGAAATACATACTGTTCACAATAAACAGCCATTCATTTTGGTATGCTTGCTTTATCTTGTAACGGCCTTACCCGCTTGATAAGCTCCGCCCAGCTCCAGGCGCTGATCTCGCCATTGCCGGCACTCAGGAGGTGAGAGTCCGTGGAGAAGAGAGAGAAGACGGGCCCCTCATGAGCTGAGAGAGAATAAACGCGTGAGGGGAAGAAAGACAGAGAAAGTTAAACAATAGAAGAGGGTTAAGAGGGGCAGCCTGGGAGAGACAGGTGTCCCACTTAATCTAGGGATGAAGGATGAGATACAGCATGTCTTGAAAGCTATTTCACACTGGTGTTCTACCATAAAGAAGCAAATAGAGAAGGTTTGAACACATCAACGGCAAGAGACTGACCAGTAAATGTGAGGATGGGTTTCTGGCTCAGATCTGTAGCATCTGGGCTAAGTGCTGAGGAGAGACTGGGGAAAATGATAACATGAACAGAATAGCATTTTACTGTAAAGAACCAACGTAAATAAGATACATGGGACTTGTGCGCCTCAGATAAAAATGTGCTTTATCCATTCAAACATTTAAATGACCAATATTTATTGCAGGACAGGCTGATTACATCATCTCTGTTTACATCATTGTATTTGGCACTAGTCAAAGTGCAAGCAGCCAGTAAACTGCATGTCTGGTCTCACCTGAACACCGCTATCTCGCCGTAGTTGTTGCCGGCGGCTAGGAAGCGACCACAGGGAGAGAAACTCTGGGAGAACACGGTCATGTGGAGTTGCTGGACGAAGAACACAGTGACACATAGCTAATGTAATTAAGATATCAGACTTATAAAAGCAATAGCAGCATTTTAAAACATATTGAATGGGCATGATACAGCTAGCTAGATGTTTAACGTTACAGTAACATTAACTAACAAATGTAGCTAGACAGATGACTAATAACATATGTATGTAAGCGTTCATGTAACTAGTGCAAACGAACTAACTAGCTACGATCACATTGCTAGCAATCGTGTTACTTCGCTATCTGAGCAGGCGTCTTGATTACCGTTGATTACATTACTATTCCTGATATGTTCAGAAGAGAATAGTGTAAATGCATAGTTGGTAGAAACTGTTACCTCGACAGGACCCATTGTGCAGACGAATATACAGTTTTAAGCGTTAGAAAATATAAATATTGTTGAGCTCAACTTCTGTTCGCGAATTTGTGTTTCCCATTTAAACCAAACAGTCGCCAGAATATGACGTCAGAGCACATTTTACAAGCATTCTGGGACATGACGTCACTGAATCCACAGATAGAACAATGAGACAGATCTTTCACCGGATGTATAAATGTGAAGCATCCCGTTGGCGTTTCCACTCACTACCAAATATGGTGATGAGAGGAAGCCCAGTGGCCGGCAGTGGGAGAAGATAGAGCGAGATGGATTTTGGTCGACATTCTGCTAATTTTCTTATCGGTTAAACATTTAATCAGTTTTCTGTTTCCAAAACTAGAATATGTAACAAACAAAGTGGACTGCGTTTTGTAGACTTTACCCTTAGCCAAAGTTTCTAAAAATTGCTTTGTTTAGGAGTGCAAGGGCGAATTGAGTTATTCCACACATGCACTTCACATAGTAGACGTTCCCTTCTTCTTCAATGAGGTTTAACGGCGGTTGGCATCCAATTTGTTGCATTACCGCCACCTACTACATTGGAGTACAACTCCCTCATATTTTGCTTGAAAAATACAATAAAAAAATACCCTACCATCTAACACTACACTCACAAATTCAAAATTATTATTCATAATTAACACCACCCTTCTCCACTATTTAAATATATTCATTCCTACCTCATGCCCTCAACCTGAAATGATGGGACATCACCGCTTAACACTCCCTGTAACTCTTCTGATGTCAAGTCTCGCACACCCAAATACCTCTCTGCAGCTGCCACCACAACCTCAATTTTCTTTGACTTACGTTCCATCCCTGCAGTACAATTAATAACCATTGCTATAAACGCTAAAAATCCAATCTTACTGAAACACTTGTTGGCCTATCCCTCTGTACTGGTACATATCTACTACTCTCACCACTCCTCCTCCTCCCCCCCCCCCCCTTTGACCCCTCTTCCTCTACTTTCTTCACTGCCTTCGCATATGACAACTTCACTACTCTTACCCTGGAAACCTCAACCTGCTTCTCTCGCACGGGACATTTCTGATCCCCAGCCCCATGGCCACCCCTACAATTAGCACATCAATCATCAATCAATTTTATTTTATATAGCCCTTCTTACATCAGCTAATATCTCGAAGTGCTGTACAGAAACCCAGCCTAAAACCCCAAACAGCTAGTAATGCAGGTGTAGAAGCACGGTGGCTAGGAAAAACTCCCTAGAAAGGCGAAAACCTAGGAAGAAACCTAGAGAGGAACCAGGCTATGAGGGGTGGCCAGTCCTCTTCTGGCTGTGCCGGGTGGAGATTATAACAGAACCATGCCAAGATGTTCAAAAATGTTCATAAGTGACAAGCATGGTCAAATAATAATCAGGAATATATCTCAGTTGGCTTTATACCACTACTTTCCCCAATGCTACACATTTCTTTGTCTCATGCCCTTCTACACACTTCTCACACCTTGGAACCTCCCTCCTACATACTGCTGCCACATGCCCATAAGTTTGACACCTGCAACATCGTAATGTATTCAGCACATAAGCTCGTACAGGATAACTTATATATCCTAACTTCACTTTTTCAGGCAAAGACTTAACTTCAAAACTCAAAAGAACAGACTATGACTTGTTTCCCCACTCTAGCCACCCTGTTTGCGTCACACCAAGCGACGAGCATCACAAACACCGGGAAACTTCCCCTTCAGTTGGTCCACTTTTACATTTACTGCTTCCCCAGTAATCACTCCTTTCAATGGCGCCCTTTTCTTGAGAGCGAAACAATTCACAATTCTTTCCCCCATTTGTTAAACTCTGAGTGCCTTCTCCCTCTGCCCAACAGAAACACGTTCCCTAACGGAAATATGCAAATAAATGCTAAAACACGCCAATAGGCTCTCATTAGCTCGTGCTTGGCTCTGCCTCCTTGCTTGTTCTGCCCACTATGATTGATTTGCTCCCATTGGAAACGACAGGCTCTGGTCTATCTTGGGTTAGTTATAAAAAATCTTTGTAGAGGCTGTGGTCGCACCAGAAATACTATAAGAAAGAAGTTGCATTTACTCTTGAACCATCAGTAGCTAGGTTTACATCCAATTGGCAACAGATTTTTATGAGAATGTTCTAAAATCCGCATAAAAACAAAACGGTAACTGGCACGAGATTTTAGATCTAGGTTGCGGAGATGACTTACAAATGATTGCATGGTTGAAAATCAAATCACAACCAACACAAATGAAGATACAACTTTTTATTATCATTCATTATTTTCACAAAGAGAAACAAACCAAGAGTTGCAGTTTCTAATCAACATACATGGAAACAGCACGTAATCCATTCGGCGATAACCAAAATACAGATGGGTCATATCTACATGTAGAATAACGCGCAAATACAGAGGGGCAGAAAAAGCGCAGTGAACGTTACTTTGTTGTTTTTAGATAATTTAATAGGACTGTGTGCGTGTGCACACGCTGTGTGTGTTTTGAGTCTGTAATGCTTCGCTCCAGTCTGTATGGGTCTGCACAGATGTTACTGTGCTTAACTTTTCTGTAACGGACTCTCCTTCACCAACCATTTAGTTACATTTCTTCCTTACAGTACAGCATAAAACAAAATGTACAGAAACCCTTGACTAAAAGCAGACCTCGTGGTCTCTGTTGGGTTTCAAATTCTGCCTACCTTCTTTTCCTGTGGCGCTATCCTCATGCCACAGAATCAACAACAAAGCTTAATTCACTCAGTCATTCACAGATCAAATGTCCTCAACTACCCCTCCCTTTAATATCCAAATGGTACAGTCCAGTTCAAACCAGGCCAGAAGTGTTTGGGAAAAACCTGAGGATCGAGGGGGAGGGAAAGTGGCAGTTACATTTCAGAGTGAAGGATCATTTTCTTCTCCTACTGCTTGGAGATCGGCTTGGGGACTGTCTGCTGCCACTCCTAGAAAAGAGAGAGGGAAAATAACCAAATAAATCGGTACAGACAACGCCACAATCATGATTGACATACAGTAGTTGCTAGAATAGTTTGTTTACATTTTAGTCATTTAGCAGATGTTCTTATACAGAGCGACTGACAATTAGTGTATTCATTTTAAGATGGCTAGGTGAGAATCAGTTGTAGCAAGTATATTTTCCCTCAATTAAACATTAACATGTACTTATTTCTCAAAACCTGTACCTTCTGTTGGAGTCAATCATTTTAAAGATGAGCTGATTTGTCCTATAGGAACACAAACATATTTTGCCTTCAAATTGCCTAGTTGGCTACTGACCTGCGGGTGGGTGGGGAATGTGCAGGTCGCCTCTGTCTGGGTGGAGAGTAGCTGAGGGAACGAGAGTCTCTCAGCGAATCAGCTGGCACTCTGTGAGGTCGCGCCAGGCTGGAAGAGACAATGACAGAGGTGTCCAATGTCAAAGATCAACTGGTTCCTGTATGTTACAGAAATATTCCAGACTTCTGTAATAACATTACTTCAATTAGATGTACATCATAACGAGAAGCATTACAGTATTGGAGTTCTGGGTCACGAATCAATGGAAATAATAGATCTGTAACAAATTGTTAACATTATGTCAGCATCAATTCTGGTGGTCCTAGTCTTTTTGGTTACCTCTTTTTCTTGTCTTCCTTCTCGCTTTCAGAAGAGGATGAGGAGGAGGAGGAAGAGCTATGGGCAGCCGCTATCCTGGCATCTCTGGGAGAGAGAGAGAGAGAGCAGGGGGACATTGTAAAGAGAGCTCTATTTAGGGCATTTCTATCCGCAATGTTCAATATATGGTGATCCAAATGTAAAACACATGTCAATCATTTAACACTCCTCCTTACCCTTTTCCCTGCTCTGTCTCAGAGTCAGAACTGTCTGATGAAGACGAGGAGGAAGTTGACGAGGAGGAGGAAGATGATGAAGAGCTGGGGCTACCCATCTTTCCTTTCTTGTTCTCTTTGGCTCCCTTCTCGCTCACACAGTTCTCAGTCCTGACTGGTCGGTCTGTGGGGTGGGCAGCGCCGCGCGAGGGGAGCACCGCAGGTGATTGGGTCCTCGAGGTGCCTCGTAGAGAGACTCTGGTCTCTGAATGACTGAGGGCCTGGGGCGACCTGGAGCGGGGAGGGTCAGAGTGCTGTATTTCTTTGGGGTGGGCTCTGATTTCTGATTGGCTGGGAAGGGGACTGGTCTCCTTGGAGGGGAGCGGTGAGGGGATGGAACGAGCCTTCCTTCCTCTGTCTCCCCCTTTCTCTCGCTCCTCTCTATCACTTCTTCCATCTTTCTCTGCCGTTGGTTTCATCCCTTTTTCTGCAGTCGTCTCCTTCCTCTCTCGGGCCGGAGAGGGGGATGAGGAAGAAGAACCGGAAGAGGACGAGGCAGAGCGACGGGGCGGGGGGACCTCTTTAAGAGGTTGGCGCTCTCGCCTATCTTGCTCTTTTTCACGTTCCCGCTCTTTTCCCCTCGCTCTCTCCAGCTCTCTATTCTTCTCTCTCTCCTGGTCTCTCTGCCTTTCTCTGGATAGCGAGTGGCTGCTTCTCCTTTGTCGAATGGGAGAGTGGGATCGCCGGGACCTGAGGGACGAGAAAAAATACACCAATTAAATAAACAATTCAGAATCTGGTTTGGCATTCTGAGGTCTTCGCAGATTTCAATTGAGTTATTTTTGATTCATGTACACAGGAAGTTGTCCCACTGTGTGTGATGTTTGATTGATGTGTGTATAGTTGAGTTGCGTTTGATTTGGTGTGAATAGGTCCGGGTTCCTACCTGTAGAGGGGGCTGCGTCTTCTGGGGCTCCTCGACCTGCTCCTCCTGGCTCCTCTGTCTCTGGAGCGATCCCTCCCTCTATCCCTCGCTCTCTGCCTCTCTCGGTTGTGCTCTGGCTCCCGGCTGCGGCTCCGCCGTGGGGCGTAGTGGCGAGTCGGGGAGCGGGACAGAGGGGAGGCTCTCCGGGTGGCGGCTTGTCGTCGGGGGCTGGAGGAGCGAGTGGGGGGGTCCTGGTACTGCCGTGGGGGGGTGCGGCGAGGGGGGGAGGGCCGTGGGACAACTGCTGCGGGGGCTTTCGGAGAAGGCGCCCTCCTCCTCTCCCACTCTCTCTCCTGTTCAGAGGGGCTGTACCTCTCTGCCCTCCTGGCCTGGCTCTTCACCCCTCCCTCTCTCTCTCTTTCCACTTCAGTGGGGGAGTACCTCTCACCTCCGCCTTGGGGGGCTCCTCTTCTGGGAGGAGAGGGTGGAGGGCTGGAGCTCTCTACCTCCGTGGGGCTGTACCTCTCCTGTCCCCTCCCTCGCTCCTTCTCTCCGTCTGTGGGGGGGTTGTGCTTGGCAGCAGGGGGCCGGTGGGAGGCAGCTGCTTTTTGGGGAGCAGGGGGCGGGTTTTCCCTTTCAGAGAGCGTGATCCTGTCCCCATCTCCTCCTCCCGTTCTCTCGCATTCCTTCTCTCTCCCTATAGCTCCCTGTCCGTCACTCTCTGAAGCGCTCTCTCTGCTCCCATTAGCCAGATACCTCTGGAAGGCGGCGCCTACAGCGGGAGGGGAGATGAGAGAGGGGAGGGCTTTTTTCGCTGGGCCGCTCTTCGCCACGGCTCCCTTTTTCTTCTCTCCCTCGTCATCGGAGGATGAGGAAGAAGAGGAGGATGATGATGAGCCGGAGGAGGATGAGGAAGATGAGGAAGAGCTGTTGCTGTCACTCCCGCTGCTACTGCTGCTCTCCTTCGCTTTCTCCTTCTCTCTTTCCTTTGCCCTCTCCAACTCCTTCTCTCGCTCCTTTTCCAGCAGGCTACGGTCTCTGTTCTCCCGCCTGTTGTCCTCCTCCGTTTGTCTTTTTCTTTCCCTCTCTACTGCCCCCCTCTCTCTGTCCCTCCTCTCCCCCTCACACTCTCGCTCCGCGCGGAGGTCTTCAGACAAACCGATAGACGGATGTTGTTGAGTAGAAGAAGACAGTCTGCCGGACCTCTCTCGCGCTCTCCCTCCATCTCGGTCTCGCTCCCTCTCCTTTTCCCTTTCGCTCTCCCGCTTCCTCCGCTCCTCTTGTTTCTCCCTCTCTTTGTTCAATTCCCTCTGCCTCTCTTTACCCCTTTCCTCCGGTTTCCTCTCTTTCTCCCTCCTTGCCTCGCGCTCCCTTTCTTTCTGCCGTCCGTTGGTGAGAGGTGATTGAGGGACAGGGGATGTGGAGTCACGGGATGAGTTTCTACCCTTGCCTCCATCGCTTTTCCAACTAGGGGGAGATCCTTCTTTCTCCTTCCCTCTCCCCCTCTCTCTGTCAGCTGGGGCTCGGGGAGACACATTTCTTTCCTTTCCTCGCTCCCCCTCTCCACTCCTTCCTCTCCTTGCCCCCTCTCTTTCTGGAGATGGAGACAAGGAGTCGTCGTGTCTTTCTGGTTTGTCCTTCTTTCCGCTCCTCTGTTTCCTGGTGTCGGGTTGTTTCGGGGGTGGAGAGGGGGATGAAGAAGAGTCGTGTCTGCTCCTCTGCAGCATTGTTCTCTCCTTTCCTCTCTCCTTCTCTCGCTCCCTCTCTCCACTTCTGGAGCGCCTGGCTTTCTCTCGTTCCGTTCGAGGAGGAGGAGAGGGGGACGAGGAGTCGTGTCTCTTTCTCGTAGGCTTCACTTTCTCACGCTCCTTCTCTCTTTCTTTCTCTTTGTCCTTCAGTCGCTCCTTTTCCCGTTCCCTGTCTGCCCTCGGTCGACGTTCAGGGGAGCTGGGATACCTGGGAGATCTCTGAGAGGGAGAGAAGGAAAAAGGAGGTAAGGAGAGTGAGGTGAGAGGGAAAAGGAGAATGAGCGAGAGTGCTGGAGGCTATTGATTATGCCCAATTGACACAAAACAGGATAGAAGGTTTTGAAATGGTAGAGGGAGCTGATCACCGGACCAATCACAGGTGGTCTTACCGCTCTGCCTCCCGGACGCTGTGGACTCCCATCCTCGCGACCACGCCCCCTCCTGTCAGGAGACAGCCCCTTTCTTCCCTCCTCTGCTCTCTTGACTGGCTGGTTCTGCTGCCTCTCTTTCAGCAGGGCAGGGGATTGGCTGATCAAATGGAGATATTGCATGAGAGATGGAATAACAGCATGGGGTGCAACTTAAAACTCTGCCTTGACTTTGAAGTTACTGAATTGAATGACTAGAATTGAGTAACTACGCGAGTAGGGTTGGATTTGTGGAAAACCTGGGAATTTAGGGTAAGTTACGAGTCTAAATTGTGAGTCATGACCTCTGGTGACCCGGAAGTACCTGTGAGCAGAGCTGGAGGACCCAGTCCTGTGGCGCCGTGTCTTACTCTGGGGCGGAGTCTCATTTTCACTTCTCTTGCGTTTCTTCTTGGATGCCTGCTTCTCGTCTGAGGAGCTGAGAGGGGGAACAAACAAAGTCTTTCAGTAAACACACACACTCACACACACACACAATGAACCACGTTATGTAGGACCCACCTCTCTTTGTCATCCTTTTCTTCTGACCCGTCCCTAGAACAGAGAACACAGAGTCTATGTTCATTAAGCTGAAAAAAGGTAAAGGCTCGCACAAATCACACCGATCGTGAATTTAGCGTTTGTCTGTCGATCGTTCACACCCGCTGTAGATGTAATTTTTCACATGATTCTACATGTAAAATCGGTGCACACTCGGTTCGCAAATTACGTTCAGAGTTGCTAAGTACTCTGGGCCAGCAAACTCTATTGGTGTATCTGAGCCCCAAGGAGTCCTCGCTAGCACAGGTGATCCACTACAAGTTAGATGTTCTGAAATAACAATATCAATGTTATGACACTACGCTGGACATGAAGTCCATTAACTGACAGCAAAATGAAAAACAAATGGAAACCTTTTCTTTTTCTTCTTCTTAGTTTTCTTCACCCGTCTAGGAGAGGGGGAGGGGCTCTCTGAGCTGAGGAGAGTAAAGTGATCTGTCAATCAAATAAGCTATGCATTCTTTTTACGCACGCACACAAAATAGGACTCCCTCTTCTCTCACCTGTCTCTGTTCTTGTTTTTCTTCCTTTTCTTCTTGCGGCTCTGTTTTCGGGCCGGGGAGTCCGAGCCCTCTGACTCTTCTACCAGCCTGAGAGAGAGACGGAGAGGAAGAGCGAGAAGGTAAGTAACAGAGGGGATAAACAAAGGAAAACCAGAGTTCTATGAGTAAGGCTAGCTAGGAGAACCACACACACACACACACTTTTCCCCCCTTGACTCACACGTATTTCTGCTGCTGTTGCTTCTCCCTCTCCAGCCTCTCCTGCTCCCTCTTCTCCTTCTCTCGCTCCTTGCGCTCCGGGTGGAAGGAGGAGCCGTCTACGTAGTCCGTGGCGATGCCGAACGCCGCCCTTAGCCGGTCGTTCTTCTGCTGATTGGCTGCAGCCAGGGCGTGAGTCTCTGTCGCCCTGAGGGAGGGAGGGAGGGGGGGGGCATTGTTCAATAGGTTCTATTATTGTCACGCTGGGTTACTCCCCAAAGAGTGGAACAGTGGTGTTTCACCACCTTGTTCAATAGCCAGCAACTGTGGGAAGAGCCACGTCATCACGCAACAGACGTCATCAGAGCACGCAACAGAATAGTGTACTGCCTACACTTATTTTTATGAGATCGTTTTAATTAAATATGTTTTAAGTCATAGCTGAAGTTTGTATTGCTATTGATTCCGCGACGCGTCAGCCTTCACGGCTGGGACCGCAAGTTTGTGTCACTGATTCCAGTTAGCTGCTAGCCATCATGAAAATGGAACAGGCGAACATTAGCAGTGCTAGCCCACCAGTGTTTTCATCCACGGCTACAAATGCTTCTGGTGTGAAAGGATTTCAACACAATCACAAGATGAAGATAAGGTGGAACTGGAAAACGGACAGGGATTTGTCTGCCCTAAATGCACCACCATCAAGCATATTAGGGATGAGATCCTCCGGCTGTTAGCTCGGCTCCGAGATAATAAAAACCTGCTTTGTAAGTACACCAACCTTGCTGTAACCCAGACAAACCAAATCTCTGTTTTAAATGCCTCCTATAGCAAAGCTGTTGATGAGTCGGGCGGCGTTGATCTGTCCCAATCCAACGGACAGATGTTAAGCTCAACTCCGCAGCCCATGGGAGACTGGACACAGGCGTATGAGATCGGGGAGGCAGTCTGGCCACCCATCTGTCCAAAAAGACCTGATCCAGCTATCAAACAGCTTTGCCTCGCTTGAGACGGACCTAGCAGCCCCGGGAGTCAGCACGGATCCTGGGTGTATACTAACAGCCCTCCCCCACAGCAATCACAGTTCAGCAGGTCGTTTCCCCATCGGATTCCATCACTACCACAATCATTGTGGGCAGCTCGATGGTGAGAGAGTTTGGCCTGCCTATGGTCTGTGGACCGACTAAGGTCCACTGTTACCGAGGAGCCAGTGTCCATGACGTCAACGCTCTCCTGCCCACGGTTCTGGCCAACTACTCCAATATTGACACCGTCACTCACGTAGGTTTTAACGACCTTCGTTTTAGGCGATCTGAGGGAGGACTAGACATTTTTTTTTTAAAGACCCTCGTTAGCACAGGGAAGATAATAATTATCTCTGGCCCCCTCCCGTGCTACCGAAGGGGCTTGGACCGTTTCAGCCGATGCTGCCTTAAACGAGTAACTGAAAAAACTTTGCAACGGCAGAAATGTCTCTGTGACAACTTTGATTTGCTGTGGGCGCAACCAGCACTTTTTAAAAGAGACGGGATTCACCCTAATCGCAGGGTTTCCAATTTCCAAACTGTTTTAGAGACTGACAGGTAGGGTCTGGTAGTGCTCCAGTTCTCCCTGTCAGAATAAGCAACAGAGGACTTGGAAACCATATCAACTCCTATAGAAATGGCACCTTAGTTATTGTAAACTAATTTATGTTATTTTGACTCTGCCTTCTAGTGAGTTTATACAAACTGTCATCTCCTACCATTCTGATAGATTGGAGTGTCAGAAAACACGGTTCTAATGTTAATAATTTGGTTGTTATTCCATTGGTTACCTCTAGGCAGATGCCCCAGGGGAAGAGTGGTCCACACTCATTGAATACGGCACTCTTAAATGTTAGCACAATCACTAGTAAAACCTCTTGTGAATTACCTAATTACTGAGCGCAAAGTTGATTGCATGTTTCTCACTGAAACATGGCTGTCTTCAGACTGTAGTGCCGCTCTTATTGAAGCCTCCCCCCGGACTACAGCTTTTCATAGGGAAAAAGGGTGGAGGGACAGCCTCTATTTTTAATAATGCTCTCAGCTGTAAGGACATTTCATTTGGTGACTTTGGGTCTTTTGAGAATCATGCTATACGGTTGAAATGTCAGCCACCAGTGCTGGCCATAACCCTGTATAGGACACCAAAGCATTGCCCCACTTTCTTTACCGAGTTCTATATTGTCCTTGAGAACTATGATAAAAATCAATGTGTTGGGTGATTTTAATATTCATGTTGACACAGATACCGACTCCAAGGCCATTGAATTTCTGAATATTTTGAGCTCTATGGACTTCATCCAACATATTACTGGGCCCACCCATAACCACGGCCATACTCTGGACCTGATTATTACCAAGGAGCCTTCTATTGACATATCCTCCATTGTTGATGTTGCTTTATCTGATCACCAGTGTATTTTTTACTACCTTGTTGCCCATAGCACAGGGTAATACTGAAGACATTAAGAAATACTATCTTACCTCTCTGAAGTTCCTACAGATTTTATTGAGTGTATGAACAATACTCCATCACCTATTCTGCCTTCCTCTTGTGATGATTTAGTTGATAACTTTAAAAGCAAATTAAGGGCAACCATTGATGCCATAGCTCCAGTAAAGTTCTAAAAGGCCACATCCAAACGGAGAGAGACGTGAGGAAACTAATAAATTAAAGAGAAATTGAAAAAAAGCCAGAGCGGAAGTGGAGAAAGTCAAAGTTGCAGGTCCATTATGATATTCTGAGAGAGCAACTTGGCATATATAACAAGGCAATTAGAAATGCCAGACGGGCTCATTTTTCTAAGTTGATCACTAATAATCAGAATAATTTGAGACTGCTGTTCTCAACCACTGATGGCCTGATAAATCATACCCCGCAAACCTGTGAACTTTCCTCCACATCAAAATGTAATGAGTTTGCAGCATATTTCAGAGATAACAAACATTAGGCTGGGTATCAGTCAAGCAAGACCTGATGAGAAGTTTGATGATATGTGCCCTAGCCTACCATGCAAAGGCACTATGGATTTACTTTCCCTGGTTGACACAGACATGCTCAGGAAAGTGGTATCAGAGCCTTCTACCTGTTTTCTCGATCCTATACCCACCACCTTCTTCAAAACAGTTTTTAATTGCATATCTGAAGAAGTGCAAGCTATTGTTAATCACTCCCTGTTCACAGGCACTTTCCCAACTGCACTAAAAGCTACTATGGTGAAACCCCTTCTGAAGAAAAGTAATCTAGATTCTTCAGCTCTTAGTAATTTTCAGCCAATCTCCAACCTTCCATTTTTAAACAAAATTCTGGAGAAATTGGTTTTCAACTGTATTTTTGAAAGATTTCAATCTGGTTTTCAGCACAGAGATAGCCTTAGTTAATGTGGTAAATTATCTTGGTGAGCCAACACAGATGCCAAACAGCTCTGTCCTTGTACTCTTGGATTTAAGTGCTGCATTCGACACTGTTGACCATGATGTCCTTCTGGTTTAGGACATATTTAACCGGTCGAGAGTTTTTAGTCACCCTTGGTGAACATAACTCAGAAAATACATATTACGTGGCATTCCACAAGGTTAGATTTTGGGTCCGGTACTGTTCAGTTGATATAGCGTTATCAGAAACCACAGCATTGATTTTCACTGCTACGCAGACGATACACAACTTTACATTTCTGTGTCACCAGAGGATTTTAGCTCCACGGATAAATTATTAGACTGTATTAGTGATTTAAATACTTGGATGGCTCACAACTTCCTCCAGCTAAATCAAGACAAGACCGAGGTACATATTGTTGGAGCCAAAGCACAGAGCGAGAATCTGGCTGCACATTTTAATTGTCAATAAAGATAAAATACCAGGTAAAAAACGTAGGCGTTATTTAAGATTATGAACTCAATTTCGAATCACACATCAGGAATGTGACCAAACTAGCTTTTTACCACCTGAGGAGCATTTCCAAGGTGCGGCCGTTTCTCTCTCAGGCTGATACAGAGAGACTCATCCATGCTTTTATTACAAGCAGGCTTGACAATTGTAATGCGCTCGTGTCTGGTCTACCCAAGAAAGCGATTGGTCAACTGCAAAACATATAGAATGCTGCAGCACGGGTACTGACCAAGACCAGACAGCACACATTACACTGGTTTTAAGGTCTCTGCACTGGTTGACTGTGAGTTTTAGAATTAATTTTAAGATTCTTCTATTGGTTTTTAAATCAATCCACGATTGTGCACCCCAACATGTCAGACATGCTTTTAAGTTATGTACCCAGTAGGTCCCTCAGGTCATCTGGCACTGGCCTTTTAACTATCCCAAAGCCTAGGAGCAAGAGGCATCCTTTAGTTACTATGCCCCCAGCCTCTGGAATAGCCTGCCAGAGAACCTGAGGGGGGCCTAAACTGTGGACATGTTTTCTTAAAACACACCTTTTTAGCTTTGCTTTTCCTTAAGAGTGCTTTTTAGTGGTTCAGTTTTTATTGATATTCTATTTATTGATATATTTTTTTCATGTTTTTATTTTTGTAAATATTTCATTGTTTTTATTAGTTTTTTCCTGTAAAGCACATTGTGTTGCATTCCATGTCTGAAATGTGCTGTATAAATTAAGCTTGATTTGATGTAAAAGGTTTGTGCAGCCATGCTGGTCTGTATTAGTTTGTGGTGGTCTGTAGTAGAAATGTCACTAGTCTGTAGTGATCACTAGATCTGGGGTGGTTTCACTAGTTTCATTACTCTATAGTGATCTGTGGTGGTGTGTACTTACGATGGTCTCTCGGTGGGGGCTGAAGGCGGCTCCTGCTTCTCCTGCAGCATCATGCGGAAGCTGTTCACCTTCTCTTCAATCTCCTCAGCTGAGTACCTGTTAGTTAGATCAACAGTTAAGACACCTAACTCTCTCCTTCTGCACCCCATGTTTTCACCCTCCCATCCCATCCCCCTCAGAGAGGATTCGATTAAGATGGCCCGGCTGCCTGGAGTTTGCACCGGGTGAAAAGTGATTGCATTTGTTTTGGAGCCGGGTGCCCCAAGTTAAGTTGGTTAAGCATGTGCTGTAATGAGTAGGATTCTGTGTTCACATACGAAAATGATTGGTTTTGATAAAAAATGCTTAAATCTGCCTTCCTAATGGAAACTAGTTTGAAAATGTATTTCATATATATTTTATGGAAAAGCGATGTATGTTTCTAAATAACGCAACATGCTGCATTGTTGACAATATGACAGACCGGTGCAGATTACTGATTTGAGCAGGGCACGCCTTCCTCACCGGCTTCATCCGGTCACGTGAGGGGCCATAGCCCAGTGCAACCCGGGCCAGCTTAATCAAATCCCCGCTCTTACCCCCTACTCTTTCCTCCCTCTCTCTTACCCATCCCTCATCCCCCTCTCTTACACCTGCTCCTTTCATCCATCCCCCTCTCTCTCTTACCCCTGCTCCTCCATCATGTCCTGCAGCTCTGCACACTTGACCTCCAGCTGCCTCTTCCTCTGGTGCTCCAGGATCTCTGCGTTGGGCTGACGGTTCAGCTGGCTCTCCAGCCTCTCACGGTCCTTCTCGTCACGCTCGCCGCCACGCTCGTCCCGCGGACGCTTGGCCCGCACGCTCGACAGGTTGCGCTGCACATAGCCGTTGGTGCCGCTGCCTCGCGGCGTGGTCAGACCGATGCCGTTGTACATGGCTCCTCTGTGGAGACAGACAGGGAGGGAAAAGGACAAAGGTCAGATAAGTGTGAGTATTACAGCAATTGGGCCTGGACTGGTAGAGGGCAGGCCTATTTGTCAGTCCCGAACAGACCAGAATTGACAGCCTACAACCAGGTCACAAAAGTCAATCACATTGGGCTGGCAGACCTGGGATGGGGTCAATTCCATTTCAATTCCCACAACCCTGTTGTAAAACATGTTTGGCAATTGTATCTTAAGCCATCCACTCTGCACTATGGAGTTAGGCATGTCAATAAATACTAAATGGGAGTGAATTGGGTATGTACAATGCACAAATAGTTAATTATAACAACCCTCCCCTATACACCACATTGATGATAAACTCAGTTTATCAGTCCAAAAACCCCAAACACCTAGTTGGCAAGTTTGGGTCAATAATGTTTTTATTCAGGAAGTATTTATCTATGATCAACATTTGGAATTCAGTTTACTTGCTGAATAAAACATATAGCTAGCTACCTACAACAGTTAGCTTAGTAGAGCAGAATATAGATACCGATAGCTAGCTTTTGAACACACCACTATCTAGGTAACCAACTAGCTAGCTACTATACCAGGCCACAACACTACGCAGCAGGAAATAGACGAACAAGCCTAGCTAGCTAGTAGTAGGAGATTGGTCAGACGCTGAGATTGCTAAAGAAGCTAACTAGCTACGCACTAAACTAGTAGGGACAAATGACCGGCTAGTTCGGTCTACAATGAACCGTGCATAGCTAGCTAGCGAAATAACTAACGTTAGCGAACCAGCAGGCATTATGTCGAAATTAACTGTTAACTAACTAGCTAGGTGCACTTATAAAGATAACGTTTTGACGCACAGACTACTTTTATGCGCGCCATCTCCCTCAGTGACCAGAAAAAGGAAAGAACCCGAGGCTTGGAACGAGCCCCCTGCCATTACGGGCCAAACTTTGGCCCAAAAGCGGCCTTCGATCTAGGCTAGCAACAAGCTAACTACCGAGCAATGCATACTTGTGGAATGCATCAAAACAATATAGGTAGTTAACGTTATTTGGACAGCAGTCAGGTCATTTTTTTTTGTTAACTAGATATCGAACTCGAAATATTTCAACCCCGCATGGTCGCTAGCAACTACCGTTACGTTAGCTAGCTAAGTTAACGTACAATGTTTCACAACTAGCAAGCCAATTTAGCATGCTAACCAGATAGCCAACGTTTAGCTAGCGTTACCTCTGAGTTCCCCGCGAACGGAGACAATGAAGGGAGCAAATACACGGGCAAAAGCCTAAATAAAACGACAATCGAAACAAAAGAAAATCTAATTCAAGTACTTCTTCGTAAAGCAAACACCTAGTGCCTGCGGATATCGTCACTGGTTAAACATCGGGGGGAAACCACGCGTGATGATGATGGCGACCCCAGACTCCGCGTCTAAACTACATTTCCCATGTTTCCCATTAACACTTTTCTTCTTCTTCTTCTTCTTCAAAGTTTTATGGCAGACTAAACCTATTGGTGTATACACTTTTCACCTTGTTGTAAGTCGCTCTGGATAAGAGCGTCTGCTAAATGACTAAAATGCCAAATGTAAAATGTTGACTTGATGCCACAAGTAACAACAACCCTTAGTATGAGTTTATCTGCTGTATGAGTAGCCTAATGTGAAGACATTGTCCATGCCATGAATGACCCCTCCCCCCCTCTTAACTTCAGGTTATTTTACTTAGTTACAGTTCATAGAAGGAAATCAGTCAATTGAAATAAATGATTTAGGCCCTCTCTATGGATTTCACATGACTGTAGGCCCACCCAGTTGGGAGCCAGGTCTACCCACTTGGGAACCAGGCCCAGCCAATCAGAATTATTATTTTTCCCACAAAAGGCCATTATTACAGACAGAAATACTCCTCAGCACCCCTCCTCAGACGATCCCACAGGTGAAGAAGCCGGATGTGGAGGTCCTGGGCTGGCGTGGTTACACGTGGTCTGGGGTTGTGAGGCCGGTTGGATGAACTGCCAAATTCTCTAAACCAATATTGGGCGAGAAATGAACATTCAATTCTCTGGCAACCGCTCTGTTGGACATTCCTGCAGTCAGCATGCCAAGTGCACGCTCCCTCAAAACTTGAGACATCTCTGGCATTGTGTTGTGCCACATTTTAGAGTGGCCTTTTATTGTCCTCAGCACAAAGTGCACCTGTGTAATGATCATGCTGTTTAGTCAGCTTCTTGATATGCTACAACTGTCAGGTGGATGGATTGGGACCAACACTTTACATGTTGCATTTATATTTTTGTTCTGTATGGTTCATTTAAAGGCACAATCTGTAATTTCAGCATTCTTGCCACCTTGTTTGCAATAAGGTAAATGATGGGGATGGGGAAATTAAACCTATACTGTCAAATTCATAAGTAGACAACTATTTGATTATCCATATAATAACTAATTGACTCAGAATTCACAGTATTATGCCTTTAAAAAAATTCTGCCAATGTTTATATGATCCCAATATGATTCAAACAGTCAAACAGCCATTTATACATCAAGGTGATTAGCCAGCACCAGTGAGGGGTTGGTGTAGGGGTGTGCCGATGTGGGTGGGCATCTAGTTTAATAAATCCATTGACTATACACCATCACAAAGAAACCCATTATACATTTGATTAGGCAGAAAGAAACATTATGAAACTGAGAAAATGTATTTCAAAATAATTTAATAGTAATTTTGAGTTTAATTATGTTACTGGTCTGTGCAGCCTATAGGCTACATGGCTGTGCCATGCAAATGCAATCAATAGTTTGTTATTTTGTTAATTTAATAGACAAGACACACTTACATTCCCCTGCCCTGATAACAGTCAACACACATATATTTTATAGTAAGAATATAATGGAATATAACATAATAAAATATACATCATATTTTTTCCCAAACAACTTTAGTGTCGCGGGACAAAAGTTATATTTTGAAACAGAGTCCATGCACTTATTTTTGAGAGTTTGTAGGTGCTTGTATATGCTTTAGAAACCTTAGAATGTCTTTCCGAAAAGGACGCATTATACTGGGCGGGGCATTATACGTTCCTCCATTTATTTCATTCATTACATTTCAACGGAACGATTTGATTAGTGTAAAGTTAGCTAGCTACATAGTTGTCTTGGTATCAAAGACAAAGGTGTAGTATAGAGAAACTATGGAGGTTAGCTAGCCAGCTACATTTTCAAACAGTCAACACCACAGCCACTGCTAGCTAGCCAACATTACCAGCTAGCAGTACTGTATCATTTTAGTCAATGAGAATTTTGCAACGTAAGCTTCACTTTCTGAACATTCGAGATGTGTAGTCCACTTGTGTAGCTAGCATGACTGACTTTGAGCTAGCTAGCCAACGTTTAATTACTTCTGCATTATGAAAGGAACTAGACACAGACATGTGGTCCTCTGTAGCTCAGCTGGTAGAGCACGGCGCTTGTAACGCCAAGGTAGTGGGTTCGATCCCCGGGACCACCCATACACAAAAATGTATGCACGCATGACTGTAAGTCGCTTTGGATAAAAGCGTCTGCTAAATGGCATATTATTATTATGAATGATCCATTGGTAGTTTGTTGTAACCAAGTATTGGTGCTAAACCGTGTGTTATTGGATGCTAGCATGCTAGTTAGCTATGGCGTCATAGGATACGGTGCCCTGGGCGGTTTTCACAGAAGAATACTGTACCAAGTTAGCTGAATAAACTAAGTTAGTCTATTCCTGGAAACATTGAACTACTGTAGATTACAGCAATTATAATTTCTAAAGTGGAAGTTGGAAGAGTTGTATTTGAGTGTTTCAGTGAAAGGTTAGTGAGGGAGGCCTCGTTTCCCCAGATGTTTAGTTAATTTCATTCTGATCTCCTTTGCATTAGTGTAGCCTTTTCTGTAGCCTGTCAACTATGTGTCTGTCTATCCCTGTTCTCTCCTCTCCGCACAGGCCATACAAACACCTCACACCGTGTGGCTGCTGCCTCTCTAACCTGGTGGTCCCTGCACGCACGACCCACGTGGAGTTCCAGGTCTCCGGCAGCCTCTGGAACTGCCGTTCTGCAGCCAACAAGGCAGAGTTCATCTCAGCCTATGCTACCCTCCAGTCCCTCGATTTCTTGGTGCTGACAGAAACATGGATTACCACAGAAAACACTGCTACTCCTACTGCTCTCTCCTCGTCTGACCATGTGTTCTCGCATACCCGAGAGCATCTGGTCAGCGGGGCGGTGGCACAGGAATCCTCATCTCTCCCAAGTGGACATTCTCTCTTTCTCCCCTGACCCATCTGTCTATCTCCTCATTTGAATTCCATGCTGTCACAGTCACTAGCCCATTCAAGCTTAACATCCTTATCATTTATCGCCCTCCAGGTTCCCTTGGAGAGTTCATCAATAAGCTTGACGTCTTGATAAGTTCCTTTCCTGAGGATGGCTCACCCCTCACAGTTCTGGGTGACTTTAACCTCCCTACGTCTACCTTTGACTCATTTCTCTCTGCCTCCTTCTTTCCACTCCTCTCCTCTTTTGACCTCACCCTCTCACCGTCTCCCCCTACTCACAAGGCAGGCAATACGCTTGACCTCATCTTTACTAGATGTTCTTCTACTAATCTCACTGCAACTCCCCTCCAAGTCTCCGACCACTACTTTGTATCCTTTTCTCTCTCGCTCTCCTCCAACACTACTCACTCTGCCCCTACTCAGATGGTTATGCGCCGTCGCGACCTTCGCTCTCTCTCTCTCCCGCTACTCTCTCCTCTTCCATCCTATCATCTCTTCCCTCTGCTCAATCCTTCTCCCTCCAATCTCCTGATTCTGCCTCCTCAACCCTCCTCTCCTCCCTTTCTGCATCTTTTGACTCTCTATGTCCCTTATCCTCCCGGCCGGCTCGGTCCTCCACTCCTGCTCCGTGGCTTGACGACTCATTGCGAGCTCACAGAACAGGGCTCCGGGCAGCCGAGCGGAAAT